CAACCCCCATCCCACCAGCACATCACACCTGGTCACGCGCCGATGGGCAAACCGTGGTGGGTTCTAGTGGGGATGGAACTGTCCTCGGGCGGTTTGCATAGGAGCATTAGTGCGTTCGAATGTACGTACTCTGAATAATTCCCTCGATCGGAGGATCAGTGCCAAAGCTCTGAATAATGCGTCGTACTCATTTGCACCTGGATGAGTTAAGACGGCTGACGAGGACGAACGTCGTACAGGGAGGGACAGAAATGGCCCGTAGGGACTGGCAGAGGCTCACAAAGACGGCCCCTATAGACTGACAGAGAGGCACTTACTCTAGCCTCATGGACTAGCAGCCAGACACGCACATGGACGGTCCTCAGGGACTCGCAGAGACGCACATAGACGGCCTCCCTCCCCCGCCGCCGCCGCCTAGGACCGAGATCGATAGAAACGAGTCGGTATTGACGCCCTATCTGGGGTCTTACGCGAGGAGCGCCGTGCGGCGCCGTGCTGCGCAGCAAATTGGGTTACCGCCAGCAGTGATGTGTGGATCTGTTTAGAAATGGTGGTCGCCGATGTAATGCCGAACGCTGCTGGCCTTTTGTGGCTAGAAAGCCGAAAACTCGCGAGCGAACGGGCTGGTGAATGGATGGAAAACGAACGAGTGATTGCGTGGGTGCCAGTGAATGCATTCGTGATTAATGCATGCATGATTGAATACACGTATCGACGTGCGAATGCGCGGTGGATGAAACTAACGGGCGGCTGAATAAACCAGCAGGGCTATCGTCGCTGGCCTTTTGGTTGGGCGCCGGCGGCGTGCCGGTTTACGAGCCCCCCGCGAGCCATTGGCGTCGAGTAGCGGCTGTGCTGGGGGCGAGCCGACCGTCTGGTGGTGCGCTGACTCAGCGCTGACCGCCGCCCCGGGCAGTTCCCGAGTCAGCAGCGCGCCACGCTGTCAGCAGCCGTGCTGAGGGGGCTATCAGCGACTCATGCCGCGTCTGCAGGCTGTCTAAACAGTACATCGTGTTCAGCGGCGGGCGGCGCTGCAGCGTGACCCCTCTGTCCACTCCAAGCTATGCTAGTCATACCCATTCCTCCGTTCGTTGACGTTAGTCCTACCTGACCTCCCTGTGAACATTTCCTTACCCCTCTCAGCCCTGTAACCCCTACGCCTTACCCCTGTCCTTGCGAACTCTGTAAAAGTGTTGTATGTATGTATGTATGTATGTATGTATGTATGTATTGATCTAAAATCCATCCACATAACATGGTTTTTCAGGATTCAGCGTCATGCACAATACAGTAAAATGCAAGAAGGCAATAGGCACTGGCAGATAAAATAAGACAACTAATTGCACTAAAACCGGAATAAAACACAGCACCCTAAGACCTCAGGCTTCGCTGGCCGCCACTGCGCGGCGAAACGCGGTCAGCGTGGGCTGCTCCCTGACGGCCGGCGGCAACCGGTTCCACGCGGCAGCAGCGCGGTAACTAATGCAGCGCGGTGTTCTGCCTATCCCGCGTGAACCCTGCCTGACTTCTTTGTCCGCTGACTCTTCGATCATTCTGCTCGACCCCTCGCAATTTTATCCAACCCCTGTACTCATTGCCTTGTCGGCACGAGTAGCATCCTTTCATCATCGTTAGTACGCCGCGGAGCACTGCGGTGATTGCTGCCTCGGATTCGGTTAGTTGGTCGCCCGGTGTGATGACCTGTGATGATTGGTTCAGTACGGTCTCGGACGGCTGTCGGTCGCTAGATTCATTTGTAATGAAGTTTGGAGGTGTTGGCACGACTGTCAGAACAGTGGTGGACTGGGGAGCGGCAGGGTTCTGTTCCTTGTCCCTGCCACCTCTAACTCCGTCCTCTGCGCGGGCCGAGCTGCGCCAGCCGCTCCACTATCATCGGACACGCCACCTCACCGGTCGATGCTCGGACTATGTCGAACAGAGGCCGAGGAGGGCGGGGATGAGCCGCGGCGCCCGCTCCGCAGCTGACCTGTGGCTTCGTCAGCAGGGAGCGGCGCATCGGAACACGCCCGGGCGGACAGGGGCCCGGCTGGGGGTGTCGGATGTTATAAATCACATCATTTATCTCCCCTGCCTACCCCTCCTGCCTGGCTCGGTCAGTGTCCACTGTCCATCCTTTTTCTCTCGAAATGTAGCGTAATGCTCATCCCGTTGATTTTTGTTCCGATCCTTCGGGCTTCGACTCTATCTCTCCGCCGACCAATCCGCCTCTATCCTTCCTCCCACTCACCGGCATCTCAGTTGAATTTGCAGTCTGAGTACGCCTCTGCACGGCACATGCCTGGGTCATCCCGTCGTCGCCTTCACATGTCCCCCCCTCCCCATCTCCGCACAGCCGGTCCCCTGATCAGTCTGCGCTGCTGGCGGACCGTTGTAGCTGCCCGCCGCGCCCTCGGCATCAGGGCGTAAGTCTGACGTGTGACCACACGTCGCAGTATTTGCATATTCAGAGCCTGTGGAGATCTGCAGCCCAGCTGGCAAACTGCCAACCAGCCGGTCCCACCAATCGGTTGCTGGTCTTTCAGGTCACCGCATTGGGTCTCTCGGTCGAACCAGTCCAGCACCGCGCGCTGTGGGTCTTTGGCCACAATCCCGCAGCTGAAGGTCGCTACAATCCAGATGTGGCTCGCGCTTTATTTGCTGATTCGCTTGGTTCTATACTGGATGTGCTACTGGAATCTCTGGCTCTTGTGGTCTAGGGTGACCGCTATTCGTCCAACCTACCTCTCATCTGTACCCTATACCGTCCGCTAAAGGGCGCCTTCTGCTGTGCAGTGTGCAGTGACCTGCCACACTGCACCTGCCCTCCCCTCCCGTCCCCTCCAATTCCCTGACTGTCACCGGGATAACTGCTCGGCGGCGGCCGCAGAATCAATGCACCTGTTTACAGGGGCGGCACGCGATCGACACGGTCACGTCACGTCCGTCCCCCCCTCCCCTCTGCCCTGGAGAGAGGGAAGGATAACCCTGTGTTACCGCCGCCGGCCGAGGAGGTGCCGCTAATGGCCGGAGGCGGTTCACCGGTAATTGTGCCGCCACCGACGCTGCCTACAGAGACTGGTCTGGTCTGCTCTCATCTGGTTTGGTCTGGTAGGGCCGGTCTAATGTGGGTCGAGATCGCCATATGATGGCCAATACCGCGGCGGCTTGGTATTAAAGCCGGGCTGAACGGTCGGTTAGACGCGTTATTGGTGGGATTTTCAGTGCGGGTGACACTGAAATGGTAGAGCATTACAGTCTGAATGACGGCATCAATATTGATACAGCTGATCATAAATAATGGAACCCCAGTTGTAACGCATCGCTGCATTCCCACATTAATTATTTCTGGCTCTGAGTTGTATGAACCGGTTTTGAGCTGTTCACTATCGGCATATCGCACCATGCCGGTCTGAATGAGTGGATTGGCTGGTGTCGCGAGGTCTGAATATCGGTGGCTGTTGTTACCAGCGCCCAGCGGGGACAGTTTCGCCCGAAAACATCCCATTACCTGTCGACCGACTGATCAGACTGGCTTAGCGAGTTCGACGAATCATCAATATTGCTGCTGCTACTTATTCTGGAGTTCGGTCCGTCTACCTGCTTATCCAGCGCTTGCTATCGTTTAGCTGAATTAGTTAGAACCAGGCATCGGTAGGATTGTGATTGCAGGATTGCAAAGTCCTGATTGCATTCCTTTTTGGTGGATTGCACCTGGATTTGAAATCAATTCCAAAAAACAGGGTTTGATTGCGGATTGGATTGCATCATACTTCCAATTTTTGCAATCCAATCCGGATTGTGTTTGATTAGTGCTTTGAAATGGTTTGTTGCGATTGAAAATTATGAGATCGGCTTCATCGGCTTAATGTACTTTGCTATCAAGGGCTTTACATCGAAACTTGAAATAATTTAAACGTTTTTAATTTAAACGCTCAAAATAATATACCTACGCTGATGAACTACATAGGAAGGGCAAAATTACGTATTTGAGGGCGAGTTTTAGAAATATAAAACACTGGTTGGGTAGAGGTTTAAATGTGGGGGTGTTTTAGGCAAAAAATATTTCCCATAAAATACCTGTGCTTTAGATAGGAATTACTCGCAAGACTAGGTACTAGAAATGGGTGATTTGGGGATGGAGGCACGGCCCTATGCCCCCTCCCTCCCCCAGATCCACTAGTGCACATAATAATACAACAGGATTGCAAAAAAAAAAATGCGGATTTGATCACAATCCAAGTGAAAAAGGGGATTGCGGGTAGGAATGCAATCCACTTCGGCACTAGGAATGTGGATTGGGAATGCAATCCTTTCAAAAAGGATTTTACCGATGCCTGGTTAGAACAAACGAAACCGAAACTGATGACGTGATTGAATGGATGGCAATGATTTGATGATGATGTGAAATCAGAAATACAGAGAAGTCAAGAGGTCTCAGATGTTGAACTGCCGGTTTGCAGCCACTACAAAGCTCTCTGTCTTATAGCGTGATCTGCCTCAAAGAGAGCGCCTTGTTGAGCGAAAGCTCTCCTTGTAGGAGGTTCACTGCCCACTCGTCTGAATGGACCTCTTTCAATTCGGTCTCTGAGATCGTCTGACAATCATTTAAGATCTGCTGACGTGGCTCGTGATGGTCGCTTTGCTGGGGTGTGCCACACTAAAGATGCTGCACTGCAGTTTTGAAACACGCCCGGTTCCGGTTGCATGTTCGCGTCTGTGTACCGCGTGGTGGTTCCTGCGTGCAATAGGTACAGTACACGCGCTTAGTATCAGTTGAGGTGTCGTAGGCTTACGCTGTATTAACTTGAAAATGAAATTGGAATGCTAACATGAATAGGCTTGTTTCAGCGATTTGCGCGTTTAGCTCAAATTACCGCGACCTTTATGTGTTAATTTCTCTCAGCACTATGCTTGAACTGCGGCGTCTTCCTGTATCTTTTTATGTATTAGTACTGTCGCACACTACTATTCTCTCACACCGCTGCCTGTCTGTATTTCAGGACGCGTCTGCCGCACGAGCAGGTGACCTCGGACAACTTCAGCGTGTGGTCGGTGCTGAAGAGCGCCGTCGGCAAGGAGCTGACCAAGATCACCATGCCGGTGGTGTTCAACGAGCCGCTGAGCTTCCTGCAGCGTGTCTCCGAGTACATGGAGTACGCGCACCTGCTGCAGGCCGCCGACCGGGAGGCGGACAGCGTCAGCAGAATGCAGGTCAGAAACATAGAGACAGTGTCAGTCAGACGCAGTACCAGGTCAGGAATAGGCAGCGTCAGGTCAGAGACAAACTCAGACAGACAGGGGTCAGGGACAAACTGCGTCAAGTCAGAGACCGGCGGCCCTAGCCAGAGACAGACAGCGTCAGCAGGGTGCAGGTAAGGAACAGACGGCGTCAGGTCAGAGAAAGACAGCGTCAGATCAGAGACACCAGCGCCAGGTCAGGGGCAGACAGCCTCAGGTCGGGGGCAGACAGTGTCAGGTCAGAGACGGATGGCGTCAGGTTAGAGCCAGACAGCGTCAGGTCAGAGACAGACGTCAGATCGGGGGCAGACAACGTCAGATCGGGGGCAGACAGCGTCAGGTCAGAGACAGAGGCAGAGAGGCAGACAGCGTCAGGTTCAGGTCAGGAGCAGACCGCCTCAGCAGGATTCAGGTAAGTGTTCATGCTGTCCCATTGATGTATGTAGGGCAGGAGCCACCAGGAGCTGGGTGATTGACTCAGGACTCTCCCAGAGCCAGGTCAGGGTCACGGTGTCTCCAGGTCTCAGTTTAGGGTCACGGTGTCTCCAGGTCTCAGGTTAGGGTCACGGTGTCTCTAGGAGCCAGACCAGAGTCACAGCATTTCTAAAAGCTAAGTCAGGGAATCGGGGCTTACAGCGTCATCAGGAGCCAGGTTAGAGGCGCAACGCGCTTTGTCTGATAATAGTGACCGGTCGGGAGTCACTTTATCGATAAGCCCATTATCGGTTCTGAGAACAACGAGGCTCAATCAACCGTGACAGAAGTTTTGCTGACTTTGGCGCTGAGTTTTGTGCGACAGCGTTGGCTCAACCTGCTGATGTCAGATAGCTATGACGGTGTGTCGGACACTTCCGACGGAATGTGTCCAGTTGTAATGGCGTGGACGGTAGGGTCTAACCGATGCTGATAGCGAGGTTTGTCCAGCAGTTCGTAATGTCACGGTTTAACGAGATCTGTCCACTATTCGTGGATGAAGATGCCGCTGTTGTACACCCGTCCTGACAGTGGCGGTTACCTCTTCCATCTGTGTCAACAGTAGTTGCTCTGTGGTCTATACCCTGTGTATATTTGCTCCGGTAAACACAAACGGAAAGGTCAGACTCGACCGCCGCGCCGGCTTATGGTGCGCCCCGGTGTACGTAAGGAACAAAAACGCGATCAACAATAGATGGGTAATCACAGTGTTTGTGGCACCGCTGGACTACCCGACAGGACCAGTGAATGGTCATTAGCGGTGTTTGGCTTGGAAGGTAATTAGCTGACCGACTGTTGCGTACTTGTTTCACTCAATCTTCTGACTAATGACGGACAGTCAATGGTGTAGGCATAATATTATGTAAGACCGTCACTTCTTTTATCGTCGGCCTTGTGTGTGTATATGTTGCAGGCACTTTAGAAAATCAGTCATTTTGTAAAATGCCTAGGCATTTTACAAAAAGACGGCTGTTTGAAAAATGACTGAACGCAACCAGGCTTTTTTCAAAATGGCTAGCCATTTTACAAAATGACTAGGCATTTTGCAAAATGTCTGACCAGCATGGAACGTAGATCCCACTACAGATGCTATGGCCAACAGTTTTTGGACGTCTTCCTATACCCTATAGGTATGTACGTGTTCAGCCTGTAGCTGATGGATTTGAAGCTTTGTGATGACGACAATGCTGAGTAACGACCAGGTTGAGTTGCAGACTCGGCTGTAGCATAAAGCATTGTTTAGTTAACGCTGTAAAAACTCCCAAGTACTTCAACGCCGTTCATGTTCTGCCTGAAACTAGACCTAACAAAACCAGCCGGAGACCGGCCCTAGTCAATAGGCAGGCCCGGTTGATGTACAGGTCCCGCGGGTTTTAAGCGTAGGTTTTGCCTTTCCGGCTATATCTTTTTCGTCTTCAGCTTTGTAGGCTTTAAGATGTGACCGATTTATTCGTATAGCTCCCTTCCATGGTCATGGAAAAGGGTTTGATCGTATGCCGGCTAGTTTCGGAGAAATTAATAGAAAACCTCAAAATTCGCTGTTTGGGGCATTCTGACCGCGGCTTGCCTGCAGTCGCCTATGACTACAGTGGTGCCACCCAACGGGTAGGACGCTGAAACACAGAGGCATGAATGAATCCAGCGCGTGGTGAACGGTGGATAGAGGCGGGACTCGGCAGAGGCTTTCACTGCGGCCCGCGCAGGGCGTCCTTGGACAGCGGGCGAGCCTTCGGGCGGTGAGGCCAGAGGTCACGACAGCCAGGCGCTGTTTGGTATGAAGGGAGGGGAGGCGCTCGCCTCAGCCAGCCTCGCCTCAGCCGGTTTGGTGGTAGTGGTGGTGGTGGTGTGTGTGTGTGTGGGGGGGGGGGGGGGCAGGCGAGAGGGGCTAGAACGAACGGGATAAAATAGAATGGAAATGTCGTGCCATGGTCAACTTACAATACCTATTGTTTACCTAATAAGCATTTATTAACATTACGAAAGAACACATCATATTTGATTGAGAAATATACAGGAGATGTTATTTATCGATGTTACCGTTTACTTTTAATGGAAACCCTACTTCTTATTAGGGGTGATAAAATGCACCCCTCTCCTTGATTCTTCCTGAATAACTCGCGTAAATAGTGGCGGGTAGCAGCGAAGCTTTCAGTGCCGTAAGTTATTTTTCTTACCATAAGTAAATAAATACCTATGCAGTCAGGAATCAGGATAAGTTCAGGCAATCTGCACTTGAAAATTTACACCTACCCTGAAAATTTCATGACCCTGACCAAAATGACCTTTGATCTGTGACCAGTTTCTACACAGAGCCCATTATAGGCCAGAATTCGGCGTGTCAGGTCTCATTAACCGTTCGCTTCTAGATTTAAGATTAAAAACGTCCCAACAAGTGAAATTGTGTTTGGTCCCTTCACCTTGTGTCTTATTTGGCCGGGACCAGCGGAGGAACTTGGCCGGTGCCTTCAGGGCTGCTTAACTGCAAATTTGCCGATCTGCGGAGCGCACGGAGCCAATCTATATCCAGGTTCAAAAGCACTAGGAATGGCATTGTGGCACAGCCAATCTTCAAGGTTTCTGCGCCTCTAGAATATCTGCTGTTTAGCTGCCGGTTTCCGGTCACATGGCCTAAAGGCGAGGTCACTAGCGATTGAAATGGAAACACGTTGAACAGGCTAGCTGTGAGAAGGATTAACGTTCATTTTAAATCCGTGCATTGTCGCTTGATATCTATACCGACCGCTTTCTAAAAAGGCTAATTTCTCTCTAGTATTTTTTCGAGTAAAAAAAAAAACGGACTAAATATGATAGTCCCTGCTCTCTGCGATCTATATAACAAATTGTAGATCGACGCCTCCTTTTTTGGCCAAGTTATAGCGAAAAAGCTGTTCAAAACTGATGACCGAATCGATACCCATGTTATGCAATCAACTTAGAAATTTGACCTAACTTGACCTGACCTTTACCTGACCTTCACCAGAACATAACCAAACTTGGCCCCAAGGGTTGCCTGACCCACATAATCGCATTTGTAATGTAAAATGGACCAGAAAACATGCATCACATAATAGTTATCTTCATATTGTGACCCTCAGTGACCTGGCCTCCGTGACCTGACCTGGTATCAGTGACCCCAACTATCAAAATATGTGTTTGACGAGCAATTCCCCATCGAAAATTGTCATTTGTCAATTCATTATCGATGAATGACATGCATTTTACTCGATTTTACAACACATTTCTTGAAATGCCTGTAAACGGTGAAAATTCGACATTTGACCTGAACTGTGACGTCATCGGTTTGACCGAGGTCAATGAAATTGAGCCAAAAGGTATTTCCTCGTTGGGGCCATCCAACACCGTTTGCTGCTTGTCGTTATTTTGCGTGATCTCGAGATCTTATGGGGGGGGGGGGCAAAATGCTCCCCCCATGGGACCGATGCTCGGGAGACCATAACGGGGCGCGGGTTAAATGACAGAACTGTTCCCAAGAAATAACATTACAGTCGTCTCCCGGCTTCCGCTAAAACTTTGGACGACTACCTATGAATCGGCACGCTGCCGGCTCACCCCGCCCGCTGGCTACGGGTGGCCTTGACCGTTCAATGCCGATTGGCCAACGGCCGAGGTCGTGCGCTGGTTAGCAGGCAGAGAGGACGGGACGCGGTACTACACATTGTGAGTGACCTCTGACCTTTCCCCGTCCCCTGACGGCATGCCGTGTCGCCGGCCCAGGCGATAGAAACCGGTTTTAGCCTCTACGCTGGCTGCCACTCTAACCCTTCCCTCCCCACTTTACTATGTGCCGTAGTACGCGCTCGCGAGTAACTGGGCGGAGCAAATGGTCACCGATACAGAGGCGGAACTGGTTGCCCTCCCGCTCGCCGAGCGACCCACCGCTAAAACCCGCGAGACCTGTACAATTACATGTAAACGAATGAGTGTAGTATTTGTTTGATTGTGTCTTTGTTTGACAGCTTTGAGTACCTACTTGCATGGTCCCAGTTAAAACTATCAAGCTCCACATCGGGAGAATCATCAGGTCGCTTGGCGTAGGACGAGAGCGTTGGTTTCAGAAGACACTAACGCCTAAGTGTGTGGGATCGAATCCTCGCGACCTCTAATGGTTTTGCAGATACAGGCCGGCATAGAGCCAGTCGTTTGTTGACGCTCCAGATCGATCATTTTAAATCCAGCAGCGTCGCTGACGTGGGGGTTGGAAATGTCGCGGGCCTGCACTTCTCAAAATAGAGAGAGGTAGGTATGGATTTCCCACTGCTGGACTCCTCTGGTCATAATGCTGGACTCCTCGGTCCACCTACACGCTACCAAAACGTATATAATTAGGTACTCGTATCTACAACACGCTGCTCAGTCATTTTGTAAAATGGCTAGGTATTTTGTAAAATGCCTAGGCATTTTGCAAAATGACTAGAGAGTCAGTCATTTTGTAAAATGCCTAGGCTTTTTGCAAAATGCCTGGAAAATCAGGCATTTTGCAAAATGCCTAGGCATTTTACAAAATGACTGATTTTCTAAAGTGCCTGCAACATATAGACGTACCATTTTACGCTAGAAACTGTTGTATCGCATACCTACGCTCATTGCCAGACTAGACATGCTAACAGTCGGCCATTCATCGATTCACTGCAAACTAGGAAAACAATATACTAAAAGGAACTGTTAAAAATGTCAAGCCCATTTTCCTTACGCTGACGCTCTGTCTCCCTGCACAGTATGTGGCAGCCGTTCGCGGTGAGTGGCCTGGCCTGTAACTGGGAGCTCCCCGTGTCCCTGACACTGACTATATCTCTGTATCTCTCACTTACAGTACGTGGCAGCGTTCGCGGTGAGCGGCCTGGCCTGTAACTGGGAGCGGCTCGGCAAGCCGTTCAACCCTCTTCTTGGCGAGACGTTCGAGCTGCACCGCAGCGGCTTCAGGTGAGTGTGGGAAGAGCGGAGAGACAGGCGGGGACAGCGGGTGGGGTGAGGAGAGGCTGGGTTAAAGTAATCTTGGCTGGGACAGGACTGGAGGAATACACGAAGGTCTTAAATTAGTGTGAACTGCGTAGTGCGTGCATCGTTTTTCAGTAATGGGTCAACCTAGCTTATTTATTTTTTTAATAACCATCAAGGACTATTACTCGGATTATATTTTATGTTTTGTTCTTAGTCTGCTAATGAAACTTGTAATGCGAACTGTTCACCCACGAATTCTCCTGCACTTGCTTTTTATGCTAGCCTGTCTTAGGGTCATTAGTTCAATTAGATCGATGGCACAACACAGCTGTGCCTGCTAATCCTATCCTCTCTAATTGTATTCTTCTCTCTCTCTCTCTCTCTCTCTCTCTCTCTCTCTCTCTCTCTCTCTCTCTCTCTCTCTCTCTCTCTCTCTCTCTCTCTCTCTCTCTCTCTCTCTCTCTCTCTCTCTCTCTCTCTCTCTCTCTATCTCTATCTCTATCTCTATCTCTATCTCTATCTCTATCTCTATCTCTATCTCTATCTATCTCTATCTCTATCTCTATCTCTATCTCTATCTCTATCTCTATCTCTATCTCTATCTCTATCTCTATCTCTATCTCTATCTCTATCTCTATCTCTATCTCTATCTCTATCTCTATCTCTATCTCTATCTCTATCTCTATCTCTATCTCTATCTCTATCTCTATCTCTATCTCTATCTCTATCTCTATCTCTATCTCTATCTCTATCTCTATCTCTATCTCTATCTCTATCTCTATCTCTATCTCTATCTCTATCTCTATCTCTATCTCTATCTCTATCTCTATCTCTATCTCTATCTCTATCTCTATCTCTATCTCTATCTCTATCTCTCTCTCTCTCTCTCTCTCTCTCTCTCTCTCTCTCTCTCTCTCTCTCTCTCTCTCTCTCTCTCTCTCTCTCTCTCTCTCTCTCTCTCTCTGTCTTTCTCCCTCTCTCTCTTTCTTTCTCTATCTTTCTATTACTGTCACTCGCCTTTGCCACAGTTTCATCACATTCTCCGTTTGCTGCAAGATTATGATGGATAAAAAACTTTTGGAGCATCTCAGATCTGGCACAACACAGCTGTGCCTGCTAATCCTATCCTCTCTAATTGTATTCTTCTCTCTCTCTCTCTCTCTCTCTCTCTCTCTCTCTCTCTCTCTCTCTCTCTCTCTCTCTCTCTCTCTCTCTCTCTCTCTCTCTCTCTCTCTCTCTCTCTCTCTCTCTCTCTCTCTCTCTCTCTCTCTCTCTCTCTCTCTCTCTCTCTCTCTCTCTCTCTCTCTCTCTCTCTCTCTCTCTCTCTCTCTCTCTCTCTCTCTCTCTCTCTCTCTCTCTCTCTCTCTCTCTCTCTCTCTCTCTCTCTCTCTCTCTCTCTCTCTCTCTCTCTCTCTCTCTCTCTCTCTCTCTCTCTCTCTCTCTCTCTCTCTCTCTCTCTCTCTCTCTCTCTCTCTCTCTCTCTCTCTCTCTCTCTCTCTCTCTCTCTCTCTCTCTCTCTCTCTCTCTCTCTCTCTCTCTCTCTCTCTCTCTCTCTCTCTCTCTCTCTCTCTCTCTCTCTCTCTCTCTCTCTCTCTCTCTCTCTCTCTCTCTCTCTCTCTCTCTCTCTCTCTCTCTCTCTCTCTCTCTCTCTCTCTCTCTCTCTCTCTCTCTCTCTCTCTCTCTCTCTCTCTCTCTCTCTCTCTCTCTCTCTCTCTCTCTCTCTCTCTCTCTCTCTCTCTCTCTCTCTCTCTCTCTCTCTCTCTCTCTCTCTCTCTCTCTCTCTCTCTCTCTCTCTCTCTCTCTCTCTCTCTCTCTCTCTCTCTCTCTCTCTCCTCTCTCTCTCTCTCTCTCTCTCTCTCTCTCTCTCTCTCTCTCTCTCTCTCTCTCTCTCTCTCTCTCTCTCTCTCTCTCTCTCTCTCTCTCTCTCTCTCTCTCTCTCTCTCTCTCTCTCTCTCTCTCTCTCTCTCTCTCTCTCTCTCTCTCTCTCTCTCTCTCTCTCTCTCTCTCTCTCTCTCTCTCTCTCTCTCTCTCTCTCTCTCTCTCTCTCTCTCTCTCTCTCTCTCTCTCTCTCTCTCTCTCTCTCTCTCTCTCTCTCTCTCTCTCTCTCTCTCTCTCTCTCTCTCTCTCTCTCTCTCTCTCTCTCTCTCTCTCTCTCTCTCTCTCTCTCTCACACCCCGTCCGTCTGTCGGTTGCAGACTTGTAAACGATTCAAAAAAATTCAATCAATTCAATCACGACTCACTTGATGAAATGACCGATTCAATCATAACTCAATCAAACAGTCTGATTTTCCAAGCGATTCAATCACGACTCATGGACCCTGTGATTCAACTCAATCACGACTCATCCCGTTATCAGCGATTCAGGGAATGACTCAACTCATGATTTAACTCAACGCGATTCAATCAAGATGTTATCTAAAATTTATACATATGTGATATCAATTTAAAACATTTTTGGAAACTGATACCAAACAGATACCAACCAAATACACTAAGAAAATACCAAAAATCATAGAAAAGTACTAAATCTATACTGAACTCAACAAAGTTGTAGATATTTATATAAATACGGTGTAAAGATGATAATTTAAGTACAGAAAAGACAAGCTCTGTTACAAATGAAGCTACCAGAGACTTAAAAAAATTCATTTATCTGCTTGGCGCTTGCAAAAGGAAACATGCAAAATTGCACAGGACACTACCACATATTATCAGCATCATCGAAAAGGAACAAAATTTGCAAATCAATTGTGATACCAAACTTAAATAGCTGGTGATCAGCCATTCAAAAAAAAAATGATTGATACTTTATGAAGCAGTGGTAAAGCCAGTAAAGCATTACACAGGACTAGACATTTTCGGCATGCTACAAGTTTTCTTTACTATCAAGAATACGGAATATCGACACATACGAAGTTATTCAATAGTTACATAATATAAACTGAATGCTCTCATGATAAAACTACCTCAACCATCCATATTTTCAATGACAAAACAACAATTTCAAGCCCGCCCCACGTAAAGGCCTGGCTACCAGGACGCGTTTTCTGCGTGCGTTTTTTGCTTTTGCGAGTTTGCGTGATTTGCATAATACGGTTCTAGAAAGGAACAATTTTATGTTTTGTTTTTGTTATATTTTTTATAAAAAAAAAATTAATTATTAAATTATCATAAAAGGCTTTATTAACGTTTATATAATATAGGTACGCAAAACATGCAAGCTCGCAAAAAAACGCAAGCAGAACACGCATAGTGTAGCCAGGCCTTTAGTACTGAAGTACGCATGCGCTAAGTGGGCAGCCATCTTTAATTTAGCAGCAGAACCATGGATTACTGCATATTTACGTCTGGACAACGAGTTGCGTTGGAGAGGCCGGAAATAGTGGCGATTTCAGGACCGCAAGAATGGACCGTCATTGGGATGATTCTTTCTTAAACCGTGCAGTGTTTTCGGCCGGAATTTAATAGTTACTACAAAATATTTTGTAATTACGTTTCCACCAAGAATGAATGCCACCAGGGCTAAATTTTTACTACTTTTGCATTTTGTCAAGAAGCATTTAGTGCTGTTATATTGCAGTTTTAGCGCGTTTGTTACAAAATATGAAGCGAATAAGCGTCAGTGTCACTGAACTCCTAGGGGTAAGATACTTGCCTCTAGATTCGGCCATCCAGAGCGCTGTTCGGCAGCCGGCTATTTTGTGTGCAGGGTATGACGTATTTCGCGAGCCGACGTCACAGGCGGTGACGTCGGCTCGCGCGCGAGCCGAGCGCCAACGACAAACTAACGGGAACCCTCGGACACCCTCGGGGCATAAACCGCGGAGTAGCATATTGAGCGAGTCTTATAAGGAAAATTCATATATTTTCGTTTCTCAAATGATAATCAGGGTGTCTCTTACCTTTTTACATATCATTTAGGCTTACCTAACACTTCAGTTGCCAAATATCTGCAATTTATTCAAGCGAAGGTATTTTCAGTAAATATCAATGGTATAGACCGAAAACTTTTGAGTAAAAATTCAAACCAACTGAAATAAAAATAACTTAATTTATTCCAACCATTTCCTCCAAATAAACAACATAAAAACTCACTTTTACACACATCATTAACCCGGTTTACATAGCATATTTGACGAGGCTCTAGCTCGTTAATTTGGCGATAATTTCGATGCAGTGGTCTTCAAATATTTAGAGGGGATCATTTTGTAAATTGTTCAGCACCATTGGCATCTTTTGCAACATCACGGACGGAGATATAAGCTTGGAACAAACCCTATGTAAACGCGTCTATTCATAATAAAGCATACTAACACGCCGCTTTTGACAATTGCGGCGTCGAGTGGCGCGCTGCTAGCGCTCTTTTTCGATCGCAGAGACCCTGCACGCGCGCGAGCACACTACGTCACGTCCGGGGGGCACAGGTATATCAGCGTGAGAGTTCCGGTTAGCACCTTGGTCCACCTCCACTGGGGCCCTGTTTCACCGGTGATAGCAGCAAGCTGCTATCAAATTGCGCGAGCTGACGTAATGTGATGACGTCATACTGCTGACGTAAGGGGCAATTCTGGCGCACGATTGCCGCAATTTTGTTTTACGTCATCAGCTAAATGTTCGAAGTTAATGTCCAAATTTTTCCTAAACCCAACTTCTTTAAAATACGTCATATTAAAAAATATATATCAAAAATATATATACTATCATGACTGCGTAAACTCTTACTTTTAGGCTCATACGTCACTTAATGCCGCCGCCAAGGTCGCGGCAATCGTGCGCCGGAACTACCCATTACGTCAACAGTATGGCGTCACGACATGACGTCAGCTCGCGAAACGTGATAGCAGCTTGCTGCTATCACCGGTGAAACAGGGCCTGGATGTGGTGCTTAACCCAAACCAACCAACCAACCGTCACTGAACTCTATAATGGTCAGTGTAATTCATCAGTGCCAGAAGTTAACTTGATGGAGCTGTGCTAATTGCTCTTGTCCATCCACTAGAAGTTATTAAATATATTGCTTTGTGTAGGTACTCCAAAAGGAGAGGGAACTATTTTATTTGTGCCTTCAGGCTTCATGTCAGAATTGAAGGTGGATCATTTAATTTTCAAGGCAGTTTAGTTTACAAACAAGCATTTGGTCTATCTCGTACCTATATAAGCAGTGGCTAAGAAGAAAAGGTTGATCAATCCTGAAGTTCAGTCATTGTACCTCAACTTGGCAGCAAGATCCCCAAGGACAGAGGATATATTGTATACCTGTGGCTGTCATGTAAATCAAAGCGTTTTTGTGCCTGAAAAGGCTTAAGTTCTTTGTGGTGTGTTCGGAGTGAGGCTATATGGCTGTTTTTGTTGTATGTTTATGTGGAGATTGAATATAACTGTGACCCTGTGCTTGTTTGTATACTTACTATGGTCAAACAGGGAACAGCACATTCACATAACATACTCACCTAGCACCTAACTCATAGCTGTACCCTGCAAGTGCAGGATCTGTACTTGTTCATGTCTCGAGCATTAACAAAGCACTAAAGTAGCTTAGTACCTGGCTTATAGTTCGTTTTTCTTAAGTTTGCCCCTCACTGTAAACGTCTTTTTGAACACAGCACGAGAATTGCTAGCTGAATTACTGAGAAAACTGGTTAGCGCACATTGTATTGTAGATATGAATAATATTATCAAAATAAGGTTCGAACACCGACGATTTAACGTTATGTTATGCGCCGTGCAATTTATTTATTAGTTCAGACATAATTGCTGAGAAGTCGTCTATCCCTGTGGGGCTGTAGGTATTGGCAAATACGAGCTACGAGTCTGTGAAAAAGTAAATAAATTTGATGAAATTGATCGTCTGTAAAATCTGGTGAAATCAATGTGCGCCAACCAGTTTTCTCAGTAATTCAGCTAGCAATTCTCGTGCTGTGTTCAAAAAGACGTTTACAGTGAGGGGCAAACTTAAGAAAAACGAACTATAGTAATCATTTCCCACATTTTCTGAGCATCTAACATGACATACAGCAGTGCAGAGCAGCTTCAGAGAAGAAACACTTGAAATGCACAGACTCACACCAGCCACCCAATGAGCCAGTTCCTCAGTTGACTGTTTCCGATGCAGCTTGGCAAGGTGAGCTAACTATTGGCAAGTAGAAGGCTAGCAGGTAAGATTGAGTTAGGGTGAGTACCTACCTATAACTGGGTGCTACTGCTATGCAGGTCTTGGGTAGGCTGCAAATATGTTTGATGATTGAGGTTAGGTCAGCTGTCGGGTTATTCAGGTATGCTCATTGCTCAGGTCACATTTTTATGGACACTTGGCAAATTAAAAAACTAACATAACCTAAACTAAGCTAACCCGACTAAACCTACACAACTGCTGACTATAGGAACTAAGCACCTACCTACTTGTGCCTACATTTCATAACATGTCAAAGTAGAGTTCCTTGGTGGAAGATTACCCTCAGTACTTTTTATCCCAGCCTTGTGAAGAAAACTAATACTTCTAAGCTCTGAGTCACTGCTGGCCATCCACAGGAAGAAACGCTGAGACTGAGAGCTTTGCCATTGTATATTGGACCAACAATCACTATCACGAATGACTATGAACACATTATATGATCACATCGTTGCATGGATTGTCATAGACAATTTTATAACAATCCTTTTTTCAAGAAATACAGTAATGATTAACATCAAAATCAACATAAAGTGGATTTAGTGATCCAAGCTTTCTCCTCCAGTAGCAATGGAATGATCGCCTGTTTCATTTGCCAGACACTGAGTACCTGATGCTGGTGATGCACATTACAATCTGCATAGCATCCAAGCATAGTAAAGCTGCCAAAGTCCATTCATTCTAGATTTTTAACTTGATAGTTACCACTAATTTATCTAGCTGTTGTAAGTTATCATTCAATATTCATACCAATACATCAATATGCGCTCATCAGTCAACATTTTCTGGCATGATCCTGCTCAGCGCGCCCTTCAGTATTGCTCAAAGATCTGCAATATTATAGCTTGTTTTCGGCCAATAAGCTCTTTTAATTTTACTTTTTTCTTGCTGATATATGAGCCCGATCAACTTGCGTTTATCAACCAAAATTTCATAACTTCAAGTTCAACTTGATATTGATATTGCTCAGGAGTCAGCTCAGGACCTCTGTCAGCCTCCTGGATACTTCGGATTGTTTTCAGTCACATGCTTCTCAAATTGAAATATGATATAAGTCAATCTTAAGGGATTCAAAACATCCAACAAAACGACGTACAAGAGTACGGAAACCACCAGATAAACTTAAAAAGCGCCTTGGAACAGAGTCAAGTCAAGTGGTGCTCCATTTGTTTGTTTACAATGATTGTAGTGCTGATGTATTTTTAGGACTCTGAAGGTCGGCTTATAAAAAATGAAACGTTTTTACAAAAGTTGTAAAACAAGTAATATTTATCTGAAAGAACTAAAATATTCAAAAGCAAAACACTATGAAATACATGAATCAGAACGAAAAAGTAACCCAAAAATCCAGCCTAATCACCGGCTCCTAAAACTGCAACAAAATCAGCACTTTTCCCCGCAACTCGTTGTCCAGACGTAAATATGCTGGATTACTTAACTATATAAAATACATAGTTTATATTTTTAGATTCAATTAAGCATATTTATGCATGCGTGTAAAACAGTTTTTTATCCTGTCCAATTCATTAAAGAAAAAATATCCAACAGTAGAAATCTAAATTGGTTTGGCAATATGTATTTAGCCCAGCACTAGGTAGTTGCAGCGTATATTGACGCAGCTGCGACATGAAAGCGTATTTTGCGTGGTTTGCATGTGGCAAATATTGCGAGCAGTCTGGCAAATCTCTAATACGAATTTAGCATCGAATGCAAAACTGTTAGCGGTCCTCGAAACTAGAAGGTGAAGAACACCAAACGGATAAAGATTGTTTGTTGAGCTATGAAAACAATAGTTTTTGGGTGATGGTGGACGTGATGGGAAGGTGGTTGTTTTTTAATACCTAGTAGGGTATGTATCTACTTTTGTGTAATTGGGAGCCACCACGGCAATATGTGACAGATCCATCAACGCTCATAAGCCAAGGTATTCCAATTATTTACGGTGATAGGTAAACGCTGATTCTGCTGGGAAATGTAAAGTGAGTGAGAAGACCATGGGTTAGATCAAGCAATTTATGACCCTTAGCCCAAAATCAAATCAGTAACTAAGGTTACCAAATTATAATGTAAACATGCATTGTGTATTCATCAATATGTTTTGCTTACTCACAAATGTCCTGATGAAACAGGGTATTGAAAATATAAAGATTAACATGATATCTAAAACATGTGTTGAGCAATGTGCGCCTGCTTACTGCTACTGTTAACTTGATTACTATACTGATTTTAGGGCAATGGAAAAAAAACATTACATTCAGTTTTTCATCTACATGCACTGACATTTATGTATAATTTGTGTTTACAGTTTGATTAAAAACTTAAAACAAAATTTTTATGTTTTTTTTTCAATAATGATAGCTGCTGACAAAATACCTAAAAATTTTGCAGTGCATTGTGTGTGACTATGATGCAAATGCCACATATATTTGTACATAATATAGTACTAAATATGGTCATAAATTCAATTTCCAGCACATGGTGATTGAATCATTTTGTTAATTCATTCAACTTGAATCGATGAGTTGCCGATTCAATCACTTGCAGTTGCCATGTGTGACCGATTCAATCAGGATTCATATGGTGACAAGAGGTGATTCAACCGACTCAATCACAGTGAGTCGGCATTTTCAAGCGATTCATGAGAATCGATTCAATCAGAGTTGAATCGCTTACAAGTCTGGTCGGTTGGTTCAGTGTCTAGCCCCGTATCTGCCCATTTGCTGTGGTAGGATGGTTTGCGAACAGGTCTCGCACCACCCGCACGTGACTGACTCTGTCTGTCTGTCTCTATGCCCGCATCTCTCTGTCTAACTGTCTATCCGTCTGTCCCGACAGGCCGGTTTGTGAGCAGGTCTCCCACCACCCGCACGTGTCGGCCTGTCTGTATGTCTGTCTGTCTGACTAGCTGAATATGTTCGTCTGTCCCGGCAGGATGGTCTGTGAGCAGGTCTCCCACCACCCGCCCGTTTCTGACCTGTCTGTCTCTCTGACTAACGATCTCAATGTCTGACTGTACGTCTGTCTATGTCCCGACAGAATGGTCTGCGAGCAGGTCTCCCACCACCCGCCCGTTTCGGCCTTCCACGCCGAGGCGGACGACGTGTTCCGGTTCCACGGCTCCATCCAGCCCAAACTGAAGTTCTGGGGCCGCTCGGTGGAGATCCAGCCGCGCGGAGTGCTCACCGTCGAGCTGCCAGGGTCAGTGAATCATCTACTTGGCTCGCCACTACCCCTGATTCTGGCTCTGCTTCCTGACCCTAGTCTCGACAGTGTCACGGTGCCTGCCCCCCCCCCCCCTCCGTTCCTGTTATATGCCTTTGTTCCTTCTGCTCTTGCGCTTGGCCATGCCCTAAGCCCTACCCTCAAATCACGTCACCGCTGGCCGCCTCTACCCTCTTTCTTTCCCAGCCACTGCCTTGCCCCGCCCCGTCACTAACCCGGCTTTGTCCCTGTCGCTCTACTCCCCGGCAACGGCACTGTCTCCGTCTCTATCCCTTCCCAGACTCCAGCCATAGTTTTCCGCTGTCTGGAGACCTGCCTACCAGTGTCTGGCCGGAGTGACGTGTCGCTCCTCGGGGGGCGGCTGTGCCAGGTGTGGTACTGGTCGTCGGACAGTTAGTGTCACGTGGTGTCACTGAATGTTTCATTGTGTTCTGTCCACCCTGGTGGGCACTGCATTAGAACGTCGCGACTCCATGGTTGTTTTAGAGGTTCGCCAGTCGGTTGCATCTCTTGGTTCCACTGTTGAATAGTTCCATGTAGTTTAATCGCCGGAAAACTGGGTTTACTCCCCTCTAGCTGCTACCACCCGAGCTGCAGCCCAGTTTTCTAGACGGAACGATGATTGACCGTTGAACGTAAACACTTAGCCATGTCACGTTGGCAGTGGGAGTGTCGTTTCGAGAAGTCGACTGCGGGCTGATTACGGTACTGGCTGTTTGGCTGATCCGTGGTTCCCGACTCTCAATAGTTGGAACGTGGGTGACTGCAGAAGGGCGAGAGACTAGTATGCCATCAACAGAGACTACGGTTACCATCACATTGGCTCTTTGTCGGAATGGGACCACGCTATAACAAATAGACGGAAGACACATTAACTGCTGTCGAAACGGGACCAAACTATAAGTCAGAAGACACGGTACACGTACCACAGTGGGACTGGGGACTGGGGAGCTGGTATCAGCCAATTACATTACAAATTCGTCCTGCCGTTTCTGCCCCCGTTCCGCTGGCGCACGGGACCTTTCATCCCAGTCGACGGGAATTGACTGGTTTGATTGATCTTCGCTTCGCTTCGCTCCGCCAAGTTGAGTGGGAGCACTCCACGTGGGTCTCCATAACTGCTTTGCGACCCCACTTTGTGGACCTGACATTTACCGCCAGCGTCAGCAAACTGAGCATGGCAACAAGGAAGCCCCATCCATGTGAGGAATTCTGCGCTGACCCCGGTCGGCCTGTGTAATTCAGTTAAGCGCATTTCGTGCTTACATCATTAATCCGGCGCTGCCTCCCACGGATAACCCCTGTGTGCTCAATTCGTATCGACGTCACGTCGCCTCAAAACAGCGCAGTAGCGCACACTTATCGGACAGACGCTGATCTCTCGTCAGTGGGGAGCTGGATGGTCCGGGCAGGGCCTCAAAACTAAGTTCTACCACGTCAGCTTCACTGTGGGATGGTGACGGTAGGTCTGTAGCTGGTAAAGTACTGGCGATCGGCTGGCCGGTGCGTAGTTTTGTCGGACATGATTGATGTTGCCCACTACAAAGGGCGTGATATTTTTCCAGTGTGATTAGTATGCCTTTTTGAGGCGCTATCGTCACTGTAAGGCTGTGACGTCACACTTGAATAAACTATCCCTGAGTGGTGTTCAGGTCAAATTAATGACGTCACTGTACGTCTGTGACGTCACTGTACCGCGGCGGTGGGCCGTGCTCTTTACTGTTCGGCCATCGACCGGCGACATCAGGTATTCAGTCAGTGGGCCCGCAGGTCGATCCAACCCTGCGCTGCCGCCGCCGCCGCCGTCGCCCTTAGAGAGCGGTGTGTGCGTGGACTATCTGAATCTGCGCATACACTCTTGCTGTGATCGCTGGATAGAGTTGTCGATTCCATAGAGGATCACTCAACCATCTGAACGGCAACCAACTCCTGGAAATGAGCTGTGTGATCAATGGTACGAGCTTTTAGCTAGGTCATTAAGTTTAATGGCTTAACTTTGTTGGACCGCATCGGAGTAAACACTAATTACTGGCAACACGCTACAAGGAATCAACTGTGAACGCTTCGTGCTGTTTAGTGCTGAATTAAGTCCGGGCATCAAGTAGCTGTCCGCACGTAAAGCTGTGGTTTACGACTTCATGTGAAGTTTTTAATGTGTCTCGCGAATCTCTAAACACCATACATCACTTGACGTTAGACGAGGTTTTGTCGAAATGGCACATAGGACATACATCAGTGTTAGATGACGTGCGTGAACTGGGGTGCCTGGATACGCGTCATTTGATCTGCGAACTGCGACTTCAAGCCGTGTTCCTGTTATTACATAAACTTTGTGGTTCGACAGTGCGTCGTATCATGTGTGGCGTCATGTATGTATCGATAGTGCGTCATGTTCAATAACTTACTTATTCATTTGGTACTCGTTATGAAACGCCTCATGTGCTGTGAAATGTAAGTTATGGTTTCCAGTGCTGTGTTCTGTAAGTTGTGAACTCGTCCCTGTGGTGCGCCATATGATGTGTGTGACGTGCGTCACTGCTCCGTCAGTCACGACGAGGTGTATACGTGGAGTAACGTCAACTGCTGCGTACACAACGTCATCGTGGGAAAACTGTGGATCGAGCAGTACGGCACCATGGAGATTACCAACCACCGGACAGGTAATGTCCCGGGTGCAGACACCATGTCGGGAGCGAGGAGGGGGGGGGGGGGCGTTCATACTGAAAAATGTTTGAAGTTTCCCGAGATGGTGGCAACACATTGCTTTTAGTGAGCGCTACTTTGATAAGCGATCATTTTGCTGTGGGTGTGTGATGCATAAGTCATGCTTACTTTGCTACGCAATTTGTCACATTAACTTTAGCCATCTTTTGATCGCGTTGTTGTAGCGTTCATATTTGATGACTGCTGGCCTGTATGTCACAGTATGCGTCTCGACTGACCCGTCCTTTGTCCACCCCAGGCGACACGTGCAGTATACGATTCAAGGAGGCCGGCTGGATCCACAAGGAGCTGCACAGGCTGGAGGGATTCATCTACGATAACACGTAATTACTACACCGCCCGGTCGCCCGCGACTCATGAAGCCTGTACCCCACCTCCACTCCACCCCACCGGCCATTGATTGATGCCCAGCTCCGCCGCCGGGTCGCGGAATGAACCGTCCGGCCCGCGGCGACGGTCCTGGAAGTGACATTTGCGTCAGAGCCGGCGGCTCTTAGCGTAATTTGTGGCCGCTTCTGTGGGCGGCAGCTATCGCCGAGTGAGCCGTAAAATGTCGGACCCGGTGCCGCGATATCGGCCGAGATTTAGACCGGGCTTGTGTCGGGTTGAGAGGTCGGTCAGGCGTGCTACGGGGAGAATGGTGCCCTGCTTTCTCCCAGTATTATGGTGGAAGTGTGTGTGAATACTCCACCAGTTTCTGTCTGCATCTGGTTTGACGTTGCTTCTCATACCGACCCGTAGAAAGACGAAGCAGCGGTTCCTGTACGGCAAATGGACCGACTTTCTGCGCAGTGCCGACATGCAGTCGTACGAGGAGTACGAGAAAAACAACGCCGGAAACAACAGGTGGGGAATGCGGGAAAATAGCGCCAGAAAAAGAAAAAACACCCGAGGCAACGAGAAGACATCTGAAAATTGTAGTGGCTCTTGGAGCCTTGTTGTTGCTGATTCGTTTCTTTGAGCCCCGTAGACAGTAACAAAATTGATGGCAAGCAGTTTATTCCAGCTCAATAAGACGTTGTGTAAGTGTATGCTATTCATTAACCCTCGCCCGCACATGGGGGGGGGGGGGGGGTTGCCACCCCCCCCCCCCAGGTAGTCTTTCTGCTCTGCACTCAACATTTTTAGAGCTAGAAGGCTGATTTTTGGTATAGCTGCTCCTCTATCCTTTCTTGATGTCCACTGAAAATTTCAAGTTTCTGTGATTTTTGGTTTCGGAGATATGGCCTTGTTTGTCAGGTCATGTCATGACCCAAATGGCCAATTCTCAACATCTTGCGTTTTCCATGGGCCTTGTGAGCTTTTGACACCTTGATTTCGGCCTTTTTTGCCAGTCTTACCTCCCACCTATCATGGAACATGTTGTTCGACGATGTACAGGGGTCAAGGTCAGGGTCAAGGTCAACCTAGGTCATCTAAGATAATTGCGTTTTAGGCAAGCTGAATTTACTTTTTGTGAAGTTTTTTGACTGCATTTTTGGTAAAAGCTTCTCAGATCATGATTTCATGTAATATGGACACAAAAACAATCGGTGCACACATCAGTATACACACAGACACACACAGACATACAAACACATATAACTGACCTTGACCTAACTTGACCTGAAATGACCTCAGCAGCAAAAATCTGGTCGGGTAGTGTGACAAAGAGGTTCTAGCTGGCTTGGCACCAGAAAACGGCATCGTCATCGGTATATGATAAGCAGCGCACTTGATATCCAACGGTGACCCAAAACAGCAACATTTTTTAGTTTGACCTGACCTGGAAGGTCAATGACTGACCTGAGAAGGTAAAATCGGGTATCATTGGATTCGTCTCTTCCCAAAGAATCTTTCTGGTCTTTACCGCTAAGCTCTATCTCCAACAGGAACGAAACGGCGCGGGGGGGGGGGGGTGGCAACCACCCCCCCCCCCATGTGCGTTCTAGGATGGGAAAATGGCATGTGCGGGCGAGGGTTAACATTCAACGCTAAAGGCTAATTTCTGATCAGTTGTTTGGATGAGTTGTCTTCCCTCCCCTCCCCAGTCGTCAGAATAGGACGCCATTTAATTGCGTCCCAGAAAAGCTATTTCTGGCACCTAAAAGCTGACTCGCCCCAAAATTGGTCCTCAGCACCTATTTGGTGGATACCAGCACCAATCATGGAAAATGACCTTAATTAGCTGTTTCTGGCACCTATTCATCGGTACGCCTTATTCTTTTTTCTGAATCTGGCACCTAAATGCTGAGCGTAGCACCAATCTAGTAGAAAAATGAACTACTGGCTGGTAGAATCATGTTGTTCTGGTATAATGACCCCTGGAGTCTAGCCTAAAGGTTGCCAGTGCAGCTACACTCTAAGACAGCCCCGTAGTGATCTCAGCATTGTATATGACGTTTAAGTAAGCAAATAATATTGATTTGTTTGAAAAACAATGTCATTTAAATATTTAAAAGTATTTATTTGTAATGCTTAAAGGGAAACATTTTTGTGAGTAATTGTCTCGATTTTGACTATTAAAACGGGTATTGCATTTTTTGACGTCATCAAATAGCTCCAAAAAAGAAATGTAATGTTTTCATTCCGTTCAAGGCCGCTGAAGAAACGCGGGATCTTACGTGGGACATTGTCCGTTGGTTGCCGCGCAGAGTTGTGCCGTGGTTGTGCCTTTTTCATCCGTTTCATGTCATTTGTGTTCATGAAGCTTTGATTTTGTTTTTGGTTATTGTGTGGCCGGTCAGTCAAACGCCCATGTAGAGACCGGATGCTGCGTTTGATCGAGATGGAGTCAGACGATGATTGCAGAAAGCTAATAATATTGAAAAGAGGGCCGGTTGCGTGGCATGTTTGTTCAGAGTTGACATTTTGCTTTACTCCAGTTTATGACCTGAGAGCCTGGCTGGAAGTGACGGATCCAAACTTTTCACGTTAAAATGGCTGAGGGTGCAATAATCTCTAGTCTCTACATAGCGGGCTGGTATAGGAGCGTCTTGCTATGCTGCACCATAGCTGGCTAGTGATTCTCTGTTGGCTAGAAATGGCATTAATCATTATCTCCACTGGCGAAAATGGCACTTGACATCACCGAATGCAACGTTCATGTTGTTAGGATACATAAAATCAGGAAGATTACGCGAATTAGGTAGGCAAACGTGGAATCAAATAGGTGCTGGATGTTTTGGTTTTGGTGCTGAATCAGCAAACAGCAAATACGGAGTTCAACTAGACGATCTGGCAACTTTAGGCTGTGTGGAAGCAATTAGGTGCCAGATTCAGATATTAGGGTCGAATAAGCATTTTGGGGCTGATCAGCAATTAGGTGCCAGAAACAGCTTTTTAGGGACCAGAAACAAATATTCCCCGTCAGAATATGTCCCCCTCTCCCCAGTGTGTGCCGTTTTCTCCCCACTGTCATTGACTTCCGCCCCCTTCACAGTCGGACTGGTACAGAGACCGACTCGAAGACGGCGCCGGGGTCGGCGCAGGGTCCGCGCGGCATGCTCTCCATGCTGAACAGCATCTCCGTGTCACCGTTCAAAGCTCAGAATGAGGTGAGACGTCGCCGGCAAGACCCAAGTTGGGATGCTTTGTGTAGAGACCGGCCAAATGCTATTCAAATGTTCATACATGACCCATGACTCAAGAGTCAGAACCGCCTCTGTGCTATTCCCTGTTTGTTTCTTCGTCTGGCACATTCCTTGAAGTTTCCGTTCTTCATTGCGACTGCCGTTGAATTATTATTCACGATGCTCACATTATTGAATCATTCACGTTGCTAACATTTTAATTAATTGGTTGCCCGTCGCAGCCTGTGTCGTTCATTTCTTCTCCATTATTCGGCAGGTTTCGTCGTTATTTTCGCTGCCCCGGCCTCCTCCGTTGCCGTGCAGTCCATCTTGACTCCCAGTCTGACCTCCCATCTCACTCGCTCCCCCGTCTGCTCCCAGGCGCCGGCGGAGTCTCCGTCACAGCCCGAGGACGGCGCCGGCGGCGTGCCCCGCTGTGCCTCAGACTACTCCATCGACGTCCCCAACAGTCTCACCCTGTGGGAGGCGGACCCGCGGCCGGCCCACTCCCACAAGTACTACCACTTCACGGCATTTGCCATGTCGCTGAATGAGCTGGAGCCCGGCATGGAGCTGTGTCCTACCGACTGCCGGTGAGATGAGCTGCTGACGTGTGCTGGTGGGACGGTGCGATAGTGGGACGTTTATGGGACGGAATGGTAGTGCGGTGGGACGCTGGCGTAATGGGATGGTGGAGTTGTGGTTTGAACCAATATTACTTCGCTTATGGGTGGGACGATGGACTACGAATATGGTGCGCCGGTAGGTGACATAGCGGTAAGTCCAAACTGTTAGGATTGTTTAACTACATGGGACATGGCTGGAGAAGGGAGTGATCGTCGAGGAGCCGGATCGCTGCCTCACATCCTGATTATTATAACTGCACTGGCGTCTTATTCCTGTGTCGCTGATCGTGGTTATATGTCCGTTCGCTAGGTTACGGCCCGACATTCGCGCCCTGGAGGAGGGTAACCTGGACCTGGCCGCCTCCGAAAAACACCGGCTGGAGGAGAAGCAGCGCGAGACGCGCAAGATCCGAGCCAAGCGCAAAGAGGAGTGGGAGGCCAGGTACGTGCTGCCGTCTGTAGAAGGAGACGTTGATACAACGACCAGATGGCGCTGGATAAGCGCTGGTGGAGCTATGGCACATTGCTTACTGCAGAGCACATATCAGTCAGTAGTCAATGTAATGCATGTTTGATATTGAGGTCTGTTCTGTTCGTTTCAAGCAAGCATAACGAAATCCACCTATTGCATCATTGAGTTCATCTTTGCTCAATATTTCATGGAAACTTTTGATCTTCTTACCTTCGTGGTTCGAGATGACATGCACATAGCTCGGCACCAGCACAGAGAGAGTTCGGCCATCACTCTCATACCGAGCCGTGAAAAACGACCACCACCCTCACCTCTCCTGTCCTTTTCTTCACAGGTACTTCAAGCGGTGCAGCAACCCGCACGTCAAGGTGGAGGACTGGCTGTTCACGGGTACTTACTGGGACGAGCGACTGGATGCGGCGATCGACATCTTCTAGACCGCCGCGGCCGCCAGTGTGTGAGTGTGCGGGCGTGTAGGCCACCTCAGTAGCTGCCAGACTGCTCGATACGCCAGTGGCGCCCGCTTGCTCGTTCTGCCGCCGGCCCCAGTGCAATGATTCACCGAGAGTGGGCTGTTTCTCTCATCGGTGTGTGGGGCGTTGATAAAAGAAGAGGAAGGAAATCACACTAGACCATCAATGTCCGTTCGTCATAGTCGCATCTCTGGGTCTGTGAGAACATCGTGTCGGGAGCGAACGGGTGGGACGGGATAGAACGTCACTCACTGATCAAACAAATCGAGCAGTATGAGAGATGATCTCATGGTCACCCCAGGATCTCTCCGCCGCGCTGGTCAGATACCTATCTAGATACCCAGTGGCTGGTTCCTAGCTCGGGTTAGTCCTGAGCATTCCCGAGCTACTGGACGGCTGGCTGGGCTGGCTGGTCAGCGCCGGAGACGCACCCGGGTGGCGGCGGTCTGAATCTCGGTCTATGTGCGGGTTTCGGAAGGTCTACGGATGGTGCGAGCATTGCCCACCCTTGGAGACTGACGGAGGTCGGGCTTTCCTTCGTTTGCGGGCGGTATAATCGCGGAGGCTCCGTCTGCTCGCTGGGTCTAGATGGACGGGTTGGAATGGTTCGGAGCCGGGGAATACGGTTGGGGCGGGGATGGGGTACCCAATGGTGCTACAAGGATCATTCCTCACCCTCGCTGAGTGCGTGGCGCCTGGTGATGGCGCCCTCAGCCGTGCGGGGAGTGTGACCGTCGCAGCGGCGCGCCTCGGCGCCATGAACCGACCTCGGCTGTTGTCTTTCTGAGCGGATCGGGGAGATGTGCTGCCCTCCCGATAGTGCTGATATGTATCCAGATTTTATAGTATTGGATGGTCGCCATCTACCGGAATAGCGCCACATGAACCTACGATTATGTTCCAATAGTCTAATGCGTGTGTACGCTAGCCAATGTTTTACCATGCGTACACATTTTAGATCTGTATTTGAATACGTCTATTTGTGTGCGACAATCCTATGTTTGTCGGCGTTGTTGCGTTTCGCCTGTGCGTCAGGGTAATACTGTTGCAATGGAGAGGTATGGTTTGCACGTGGAACAATATCGAGCCATTCCATGCCTCGTGGCTATTTACGACGCCCAACTGAGGCGCTGTTATCAATGTGTAGTGTGTGCGAAATACATGCCACCCTTATGAATTACCGTCTCTGAATCGCTCCAAAGTTTGTGGTGTGCTTTTATGAATGCTCATCACGCTCGACGGCCGGACAGTTTTTTTATGTCCTCGTGCTACCAAGTACCAACTGCTGACTCTTCCACAATATTTTATTGATACAATAACACAATATTCACAAACAACTACACACATGGTACAGCCGATAACTTTTTACACCGACAGCCTGTGCGACAGCGGCAAGATAACAATATCAACGATATCACAGGACGTTATTGAGTGCCCCTCCCCTTGTGCGTGACAGCGCTACAACTTGTTCCTTTGACGCTCCTGCTTTTCGCGCAGCGTTTGCAGAAACGCGTCCAGGAGGCTGAATGGCTTGGCCGTGGTCCTGACAGTGCTGACTTCAGTTTGTCGCGACGGTGTTGGTGAACTTGCTGGTGGTTCTGTAGGGGGCCGTGTCGTTGGTAGTTCTGTAGGCGGTTTTGTGGTCGGTAGTTGTGTAGGCGGCAGTGTCGTTCGCTCTGTAAGCGGCTGTGTCGTTGGTAGTTCTGTAAGGGGCTGTGTCGTTGGTACTGTATGCTGCTGTGTCGTTGGTGTGGGCGGCTGTGTCGTTGGCAGCTCTGTTAGCGGCTGTGTCGTTGGTGGTTCTGTAGGCGGCTGTGTCGTTGGTGGTTCTGTAGGCGGCTGTGACGTCGTTGGTTCTGTAGGCGGCTGTGACGTCGTTGGTTCTGTAGGCGGCTGTGGCGTCGTTCGCTCTGTAGGCGACTGTGTCGTTGGTAGTTCTGTTGGCGGCTGTGTCGTTGGTAGTTCTGTAGGCGGCTGTGTCGTTGGTACTTCTGTTGGCGGCTGTGTCGTTGGTAGTTCGGTTGGCGGCTGCGTCGTTGGCGGTTCTGTTGGCGGCTGTGTCGTTGGTGGGGTAAGTGTCGTACGTAGCTCTGTAGGCGGCTGTGCGGTTGTCACTTCCGTAGGCGGCTGTGACGTTGTTAGTTTTCTATGCGGCTCTGTCGTCGGCACTGAGCTGTTGCTGGCTGTCTGTCCCTCCGTCAGTGTGCCGAGCACCGTCAGAGCCTCTTCCAGACTCTCCGCCTGCAGCGTTTGACCGTCTCGGAGTCGACCAATACCCTCCACGGCCGCCTCCAGCCGCCCCTCCAGCGCCGCTCGACTCTCAGCCACCGCCGCTGCTAACCGCTCGCTGCGCCGCGCACTCTGATCGTTCGCACTCGCCACTCGCTCGTCCAGTGCCGGGAGGAAGCCTTCGATTGCTCTCTGCACAGCGGTGAGATGTTCCAGAATGGCGGTAGTGTCGGCTGAGGACTCGGCAGTCTCGGCCAGCCGTGCCTCCAGCCGTGTGAGTCCTCCCTCCAGGGCGGCGCTCTGCGCGCTGACACCGGCGGCGGTCTGCTCTGTCCGGCGGCTCAGCTCTGCTATCTGACCGGTCAACTGACGGTGCCGCTCGGCGGCCTGCTGTCGCGCCCGCCGCAGCTCAGCGCCGCTCTCGGCCAGCGCCGCCGCCAGCGCCCGGCCCGGCAGCGCAGCTCCCAGCGCCGCCACCGCGCGGGTCTGCGCGCTGACGGCCGCCACCAGCCGGCCGAGCGCTGCGTCAGCTCGGCGCCGCTCGGCGCGCTGGCGCTCCTCGAGCAGCTGCTGGCGGCGCTGGCGCTGGAGCTGCTCGGCGCGCCGCTGCGGCCCGGCCAGCGTCGCCAGGTGAGCGGTGATGGCCTCCAGATGGCGGTCGGCGGCCGCGTGGTGCATCGCCACGGCCTGCTCCAGGCGGTTCAGTCGCGCCGTCAGCTCCACTCCCTGGGACGCGACCGACTGTGGCACCGGTACCGGTACCGGCGGCGGCGGCGGCGGTCGGCGCACAGGGAACATAACTGACGCACTCCCTCCACCGACCAACAGTAACACTGTCCACACTAACGTCCCCATGATGCGAACCTCTCACTTCGTCCGCAACTCAGCGTACTGGTGTCGCCGTCCGAGACCAACACTTTATACAAACTCAGCGGTGTTTGGGACACGACGCCCCGGGATTTCAGAGCGGTGACGTCATCAGGAGGGAAGTGGTGTGACGTCACTCGGGCAGGGAATCTCGGCCGCTGGAGCAAGTCTGGTGCCATTGAATGGGTGTGCTTCCCCGGAACTGGACGTCTTGGACAGTTCGTTCTGTGTACTATTGCGCAGTTTGGTGTCGGTTTCATGCCATTGGAATTCGACAGCGTCGTTAATGTTGATAAATAAACACAGGATAAGACGCTGACTGGTGTCATGTAGCATGGCTTATTCGAGGTAGTTGATTTACGGATGGGATGGATCGTTCTTGTCCCTGGTGCGGATAACTGACAAACGTTTTATTTTGGAAATCGAAGTTTTCTCTGGGAGCTGTCTGGATGATATTTTTATGTCATAGTGGCGTCGGTAAATAGGCTCACAGTATCTGGAACACAAATACAGCCATCTTCATGACAGCACGATTGCAGCTTAGGATATTTACATAACTGTACAGTGTATCGGTAACTGTACGTTTATGCCTTGCATATAGGTACATAACTACGTATATGTTCAACGTCTATCCAAATTCGAAAACATTACCTATAGGTAGGTATGCGTTAGTTCTCGTGCATATCTCACATAGTAACATGTTGTGCGCGAACACCCAAACACCCCAAAGCTAATCTCACGATGTTTGTGCCAGCGTGTGCTTGACAACTCCCCCGACCAGGCCTTGCCCCCGACGCCGTGGTATGTGTTGTTCGCGGTGCTGTATCCAGCAGACGCGTGTACTGCAGACACAACTACAAGCCATCAATTCCCCAAGATCGTGTCGTATCCCGTGTCTTACCGTTTTTACCGATGCTCGCGATGAGAGATGTCTTCCTTACTAAGAAATAACAGCATGTAACACTTAACAGCGAAATGTTTCTCCGTGAGGAGAGCGCCGGTCATCAGACGATGGATAAAGCCCGGTTTGAGATTGTGTAAGGACAAATATGACTATGTATTTCGGTTAGTCTGAATTTATGCAGAAATGAGTGGCAGTGGTTTTGTAGAACCACTCAACTTTTTTTTTTGGGAAGTCCGGTTAAGTAATTAAGTTCGGTCACCTTTGGGTTGAACCACCAGCGTCGACCAGCCGCTTATTATACCCAGCGCGTATTTCGTTTTTGTACCCAAGGACCAGCCCTCCCATTGCACGTGACAGCTGCCCTCGAGGACTAAGTCGACGTCTTTCTCAGGTCCTCCCGGACACTGGTGTCACATCAAAACCCGGCTGTGTGCCTGGGAAAGCCGTGTGAAACGGCGGACGTCTGTGAATTTTCCGGAGCACTGCGCAACGCGACAAATGTTAGCTAACTGTTTAGCAGGCTCTGGATGGAATTAGCCAAACAAACCACGGTGGGTGTCGACTCTGTCCTTAAATCTGTGTGGCCCGGGAGCTTATGTGTGGCGTCATGTAGGCATGAAAGGGTTTCGAAATAATTCGAGCGTACTTAATCTTGTATAGGAGCTTAGCCGATCGTTCACACGTGTGCCAATGGCCGACAGGTCTGGTGGCGGCTTTGCTCACTACCTGAGCAGCCGTAACCACCTCAGCACTGTGGTGGTGCATTTATCTGCCGGTCGGGCGATGAGCCGTTATCAGCGGATTCTCGTCTCGTGCCGGTCGTGAGGGCGCTGTCGATCGAGGCTCTCCGCTGCTGTCCCGTGATATAAACGATCTGCGGCGACGCTGTGGCGCCTTATCTCCGCTGTCCTCAGCTGCCGGGCTGCTATACCGAGAAGGCGCATTTTGAAACGGCCGGTGCCGCAACCGTCTCCGCTTACAGTGGCCGGCTGCGATGGGCCTTTTTCTCCGGCGCTGTCCCTGGTGACACGTGCCTCTCTGCTGGACCTTCCCTCCACTGCACCGGGCTCTGCTGGATGCCCTGCAGTCCAAGCGAAGTTCAGTGATAAGCCGTAATGCCGTTATCAGTTCATTTAGCAGGTATCAGATATCCGATTGTTGCAACATAGATAATAATTATTTGGAAGAATCATGAATGCATATTTTCTGTAAATTACTAGTTGTGTGGTTACAAAGCTCCAAGGTGCATAATGCATATTAAATCCATGGAGGCTCTTACTTTCCATGATCATCCAAGGACCTTCAGCGTTTTTATCGACTCTGTGCATAATTCTGGTCAAGAGTTTTGACAGCAGCTGATGTGTACGTTGACGTGGCCCTAGAAGCATTCATCTATGACATCAGCCCGAGGACAGACGATTAACGATCCCGGCCTCCACTGGTGTACACACAAACACGGTCTCTGACCCGCGCCACGCATGTGTCGCCGGCGCACCGCGACTGTCACCCGCACTAATCTCGGCGCGTGGCGTGTTGTTTGCGCGTGCCGGCGGCGGCCGCTCGGTGCGGTGTCACCGCGCTGAGACCCACTCTCCGGGCCGCGGTAAGCCGCCGAGCGGTCCCTGAGCTGTGTGAGAGCCACCCGTCGATCCGCCCGCGCGGCCACATGCAAATTCTCACCGGGATTACGGTTTAGCGCTGGCGTGCGCGGCGTGCGAGGGCGACGGCGACGGGATGCTGCTGGCACTGCACCCCTCTGCGGCGGCCCCGTAGGTCGGTGAGACGACATTGACCAGGGGTGATGAATCCTTCTTCTGGGAGCGGCGATGATCGGCGTGGGTGATGACGTCACCGAAAATGTCCGGCGACCAGCCCCTGAATGGTGTCATCTAATACCGTGTCATGTCCACCCTGCTGTCATCCTTGTCATGCCTCTTCAGCCTTGTCATCAGCGAGTAACCACTTTAGCTCAATTACATGCTGAAATGTTGTTTTCATTTAAATGTTATTCATTAGGCTGCTCCCTTCCAATATTGTTGTGTGGAATGTGGATCCCTTTGATTTTGTGCTTGCAATGGGTGCCTATTAGGTACTTCGGTAGGTGCTCGATAAAAATGGTGATAGAATCGGCGAAGTTTCAATTACGGATTTCCGTCTGGCAATTCCCCTCCTCCAAGATCGGTGATCGGTATAAAATAAAGGATCTGAACACGGGTGCAGTGTGGCGAGAAGAGAGGGCTGATAAATATCACTGTAAAATCCTCACCCGGCACCTGTGTCGGATATTGTGGCTATCAAGACGCTTTTATCAACACGTGGACAACATGTTTGTTTTTACAGGTTACCTATTTTTTTTTTTTGACATGTGAGGACAAATATGATAAGTGAGGGAGACTTTATTTTAGGCTGAGAACTTATTGGCACGCAATGTATACCTAAATATTGTGATGCGAATCGGGAGGAAATATACGAGTATTTTGACTCGTTAGTGCTTAAACACTTATGCAGATCTATTTTTACCCCTTTCATTTTTGCGATAGATATGTTCATTGGATGTATCACATTGTTGTTTCACTTTCGTGAGAATAATGTCTGGAACAACCTTCCTATTGCCAAGTGATAAATATACATCGGTTGTTTTCCTAATATGACTCATTTACATCAATGTGCTACGATTACGAAGCATCACTTATGGAGTGTGGCGTGCACGTAATCGAGAACAGTTACCATGTCAGTACTACCTACCAATTTGTCTCGGCTATTGAATGCAGGAGCGAATTGGAGCGATTGTGAAAATTGCTCCAGCACACGGCCCACAGTCTCAACAAAGATCAGAGAAAACGGCAAAAGCCAAAAGCTGTATTTCCATCAGAAGTTCGCGCTGTGGCGATTTCTAAGTAACGCACGGGTTAACGATGACGACATATTACATATTGGTCACGAACTTGACGGTCGCTTATTAGCTAACGAAGAAAAAGAACGTCATCTCCTTTTCAGGTCAGCAATGAGTTTTTATCGTTTGATTAGCGAATATCTTATTAGCACATTCCGCTTGGAACTCAAAAGTGATAATGTTTTATCTTTGCATGTCGTATAACAGTCAATTTTTAACTAATGGTATCATCGGATTTAAAACACGGATGATGAAGAAATCGGTAGAGTGCAAAGAGAAGTAGCAGTAGCCGCTTAGGGTCATATTTCACGGGATTGGCCCAGAATGACATAATCCCAAATGATCCAGTGCTGCATCGAAGGGCGCGAGATGAGCCCAGCGTGAGCCTTGGTGATGCCAATCTGATAGCACCACTTGCCTTGTAATGATTGGTGATTTTTGCATCGGGTGTAGAGCTTAAACATTGGACGCCATTTAATTGCGTCCCAGAAAAGCTATTTCTGGCACCTAAAAGCTGACTCGCCCCAAAATTGGGCCTCAGCACCTATTTGGTGGGTACCAGCACCAATCATGGAAAATGACCTTAATTAGCTGTTTCTGGCACCTATTCATCGGTACGCCTTACTCTTTTTTCTGAATCTGGCACCTAAATGCTGAGCGTAGCACCAATCTAGTAGAAAAATGAACTACTGGCTGGTAGAACCATGTTGTTCTGGTATAATGACCCCTGGAGTCTAGCCTAAAGGTTGCCAGTGCAGCTAAACTCTAAGACAGCCCCGTAGTGATCTCAGCATTGTATATGACGTTTAAGTAAGCAAATAATATTAATTTGTTTGAAAAAACAATGTCATTTAAATATTTAAAAGTATTTATTTGTAATGCTTAAAGGGAAACATTTTTGTGAGTAATTGTCTCGATTTTGACCATTAAAACGGGTATTGTATTTTTTGACGTCATCATAGCTCCAAAAAAGAAATGTAATGTTTTCATTCCGTTCAAGGCCGCTGAAGAAACGCGGGATCTTGCGTGGGACATGTCCGTTGTTTGCCGCGCAGAGTTGTGCCGTGGTTGTGCCTTTTTCATCCGTTTCTTACTTATGTGTGCATGAAGCTTTGATTTTGTTTTTGGTTATTGTGTGGCCGGTCAGTCAAACGCCCCTGTAGAAACCGGACGCTGCGTTTGATCGAGATGGAGTCAGACGATGATTGCAGAAAGCCAGAAAGCTAATAATATTGAAAAGGGGGCCGGTTGCGTGGCATGTCTGTTCAGAGTTGACATTTTGCTTTACTCCAGTTTATGACCTGAGAGCCTGGCTGGAAGTGACGGATCCAAACTTTTCACGTTAAAATGGCTGAGGGTGCAATAATCTCTACATAGCGGGCTGGTATAGGAGCGTCTTGCTATGCTGCACCATAGCTGGCTAGTGATTCTCTTTTGGCTAGAAATGGCATTACCTAATCATTATCTCCACTGGCGAAAATGGCACTTAACATCACCGAATGCAACGTTCATGTTTGTTAGGATACATAAAATCAGGAAGATTACGCGAATTAGGTAGGCAAACGTGGAATAAAATAGGTGCTGGATGTTTTGGTTTTGGTGCTGAATCAGCAAACAGCAAATACGGAGTTCAACTAGACGATCTGGCAACTTTAGGCTGTGTGGAAGCAATTAGGTGCCAGATTCAGATATTAGGGTCGAATTAGCATTTTGGGGCTGATCAGCAATTAGGTGCCAGAAACAGCTTTTTAGGGACCAGAAACAAATATTCCCCTTAAACATTTGCATTAGCCTACTGGCACAATTTACGTAATTCCTATGTTTGCTTTCGGTAATGCCTCTGCTTAACGTAGGTCATTACTTTGACCCACGCTTAGCTTAACTTCCCTCTGCTTACGTTTTCCTTAGGCGTGGATCGGAGCCAGTCGGACTTATAGTGTTGTTTGCATTATAACTGCAAGCGAACAGAAAGGAAGCATAGGTATGATGTTTCTATCAGCGCACAAAAGCATTATGCTGTGATTTTAATTGCTATCAGCCTGTTATCGTCTTCTCGCCTTATAGACAGTCACTTACTATTGTGATTCGGTTCGGCCTCGCGATTCGCAGTGGGTACTGCTTGTAATGAGGAGTGTAGCTACGTAAATCGGCGGCGGATCGCAGCTCTGAAATGGTAGTTGATATAGAATGGCGCCTCTGGATGCCTTCCTGATCACCTATCTAAAGCCAGTTGATAAACCCTCCACACATATAGTGATCGTCAGAGTGCGCAACTGCTTGCAGTCACCCTAATGGCCCGGCTAATTGAGCTAACTACGTGATTTAAGAGCGAAACGTGTGTTGTCATTGGAATGGTGCCGACACATTTCAGTTGATGGATGGCGCGTGTTTCTTCAATGATGCTTATCGAATGCTAATGGCCGTTTGAAAAATGACACATATCAGTGGGGAGAGAGAGAGGGAGAGAGAGAGGGAGAGTGAGGGAGAGAGATATAGAGAGAGAGAGAGAGGGAGAGAGAGGTAGAGAGAGGGGGAGGGAGAGGGAGAGAGAGAGAGAGAGAGAGAGAGAGAGAGAGAGAGAGAGAGAGAGAGAGAGAGAGAGAGAGAGAGAGAGAGAGAGAGAGAGAGAGAGAGAGAGAGAGAGAGAGAGAGAGAGAGAGAGAGAGAGAGAGAGAGAGAGAGAGAGAGAGAGAGAGAGAGAGAGAGAGAGAGAGAGTGGAAGAAATAAAATTCGTATGTAACTGGAGAGAAGTAAAGATGAAGCTCAAAAGTATTTGATTTGGGGCTATGTTTATTGTTTACTAAACGCCAACTTTAAAGGTGGCATATATTTTTAACATTGGATTAAGTGTTTTTTTTCTGGAGTTGTCCTGGCGCTTTTGATGTTTACTTTAATGTTGCCGTATATTTTGTATCGTAGAGTTCAGAAAATGAAAGCCGGCTAGCATCATGTGATTCTGTTTTATTCCGATCAATTTCTATCGTGTGACGCAGCTTTTCATCTAGCCCGAGTGACGTGGTCATTTCGGATGACACAGTAATGATTCAGTCCGTCTTAAGCACGGGAGTGCTTTTTCGGTGTCGCCATCACGCCGCAGAGGTCACAGCTGAGGACGCCACCTGTGGCCTGCGGTTCATCCGTCACCGGCGGATTATATCGGCAATGACCGTGGGCGGGCGGTCACTGGTCAGTGCCAACGGGCTCAACTTTTACCTCGTAATGGAATAATGAGTGATGACCGCAGCCGCTAGTAGTCTTTTTTTTTTGCATGTGTGTGACCTTAGGCTGAAAATGTGCATTTTTACGTATTGGTTAGGAGTAAGGTACAGCCAACGCATAGCGAGCATTCACAGCTTTCATTATCTTTTACAAATTGCAAAATTGCAAAAGTCCAAATCGTTGTAAATGTCTCAAGAAACATATGCATCCGAAACGACCGAAACTGTTGCCTGGTGTCAAATTTATGTCGATGCTGGTGGTCTTCGACGCACCAACTCATAGTCATACGAAACAAAATTTTGAATTTATCATTAAACCGGAACAGATGTCAGAGAAGGTCATACATTAGTATGACTATGACATTAGTATGACATTAGTATATACCCTGAAATTCCAATATTTAGACAAATCGGTCCAAAAATATAGGAGTTATTGATATTTTCATTGACGTCATGACACACAAAATATGATTTTTTTGAGGTTGTACACCTTATCGGAGAATAAAATAAGCCCCATCCGATTCGTCGTGAGAAACTGTATCACATAGACACCTTTTTTGGTCTTACCAACAAGCTTCGAAGTTTTACCTCACTTGGCCTCACCTCGACCTGAACTTTATCCCATTATAGTTCATATCACTTTTTGACTAATGTCTATTAAATTCTTTGAGTAAAATGACTCATTAAATTGTATCGCACACATCCTATTCATTCAATGCTTGTTTTTGGTGGCATGGCCTGCATAACATCCTTATATGCAGTGCACCTTGTCTCGGTAGTCGGTAGCCTTATAACGCGTTCTAAGTGATCAGTATGAAGCTACTCTTCGCCAATTGGGCCCCACCAAAGTCAATAGTTTCTACCATTGACCTGACCTTGACCTGATCTGTCACCTACTTAGGCAAAACAAATTGTGCTAGAAAGATATGGCTTGTTGTTGGAGCTTTCGATCGCTGTTCTCCCTGTCTTTCTACAACCATCCGTTCGGAAATTAGACAGGGGGTTAGAATCCACCCTCTCCCCATTAGGGCACGTTCGGCCGAATACCCCGGCTGGTTAACAGGACATTAGTTATTGTCCTTTCAACAACTAAAAATGGACGCTTTAGCCAACTATGTAGCTACCAATTGTATGTCCCGGCGAATTGTATTGTGTTTCATTGCTATAGCTCTCGATGCACCCGTGTTCGCCGCTGTTTCGACGTTTATCATTGTTCCGCCGTGGCATACGGTAGCTACGGCTATATGCTATTCAGTTTCACCATTCTGTTGTTTGATGGTGCTGCTCAATCGAACTGTTACCCAGCACCGGCGAATCCTGCCTAGACTAAGAGACTTATGCCAAACTCCGATCATTAGCAATGGTGTGTATTGTCCAAGGGACAGACGGGCGAAGTATATGAATATCACATATTGGACGGATAACAGTATATGTAAGCGCACGGTAGCCAGCGCCCACTGCCGCGGCTTGCGGCGACTAGGGCGTCAGTCTCAGTCTACATCCCACACATGGGTCTAATATGAACCATATGTAGTTCTCACAACGAGTCTACTGCGACGTAGAACGGACAGGGACGGACCACGGGTACACACATAACGTCTGTCGCTGGCTAGACGGTCTCCTCCTCAGGCTGGCCGTCGGTGGTGTCAGCGGCGTCCTCCTCCGTCACCGGCCGCTCCGTGGTGGTCGTCCTCTGGCGCCTCCTCACGGGCCGTCTCCTCAGCACCACGGGCACCGTCTCGGCGTCCTGTGAGGGGGCCGTCTCCAGGGTGACCGAGTTCTCCGCCAGTGCTGCAGAGGGAAGTCGCTGCCGCCGGCGGGCCGGACGGTCCCGGAAGGAGGCGGGAGGCTCGGTGGCGGCCGGGGTGGGTGTCTCCTCCTCCTGTTCCTCCTCCTCCGCCTCCTCAGCGGGCTGCTCGGGCTCGACAGGGCGGACGGGGAGCCGCAGTAGCCGGCGGGCCACCTTCCTCCGCACAGGAACGACGGGAATAGGGGCGGCGGTGGTCGGAGCGGCGGGCGCCTCCTCGGACGCAGTTTCCAGCTCCTGCTCCTCAGTCTCCTGCTGAACTGCGCTCTCTTCTGCCTCCTTCTCCTGCTCCCGCTGCTCTACGAGAAACTGCTCTACTGCGGTCTCCTGCTGCTCTTCAAGCTGAATGATTGCGCTCTCGTCTCCGGTAGCCTCCTGCTCCTGCTCCGCTGCCTGGGTCTCCTCTGCTGCCTCCTCCTGCGGCTCCTGCTCCTCGACACTCTGCTCAGTTGTGGTAGGAGCCTCAGTGGTGATCCTCTGCCTGCGCCGGACCGCTCTCCTGGTCGCAGGAGCCGCTGTGGTCGTGGTCGTGGTTGTGGTCGTGGGGACCTCGGTAGCCTCCTGTTCGACCTCCTCGGCGACCTCCGCCTCGGTCGGCTCGGCGCTGGATGGTGCGACGGCTGGCAGCAGCGACTCTCGGAGCTGCTGGCGGTTCCTCCTGCGGACGGCGGCCCGCACCGGGACGGTCCGGACGACCTCCTGCGCCACCTCCTGTGCCACCTCCTGCGCCACCTCAGGCGCGGGGACCGGCGCCGCCTCCGGCACAAACTCCGGCACCGGCTCCGGCTTGCTGGGCTTCACGGTCTTGGCCAGCTCGACGGTCTCCTTCTTGGGCGGCGCGCTCTCCTTCTTGGGCAGCGCGCGCTGGCCGTTCTTGCGCGCCTTCTGGGCGGCACGCATAGCTTCGTGTTGGCGGCCGATGCGCGCGTGCTCCTCCATGATGCGGGCCACCTCCTTGAAGAAGGTGTCGCGCGCCGCCGCCACCACCTTCGATTCCTGCCGAGGAAGGAAGGGATCAAGTCAGAGCGGAGATTTGGTCAGATGCCTATCTGTCGCGTTCCGATACTGTCAGTGCGTCTGATCTAGGTAGCGAGGGCGAGTGATGTTTTTCTCAGATAATTAAAGCTGATAAATGTCAATGCTCACTTGGGACTTGTACGGGTGGGAACTGATAAAATAACGATGCCAATATCTTGTTGATGACATGCAATGCCAATTAGCTGGGTACACTAAGCTGGCTTTACCTTGATTGTTAATCATGAGCAAGTGGTGCGAAAATTGATACCTATCCGTTATGAAGAGCTGCCTGGGAGGGACACCTCATCTCCAGTCAATAGTAGCGTTTTCAGTTGGGCTAAGACATTCATAATCCGCTTCTTTTTCCCACATGAGTCAAAAACGTGTCCGAGTTTCCCACGGGCAGGTTTTTTTTTATAAATTTTGTCCGAACCTTTTGATGGGAAGGATTCACAATGACAGAGCCACCGCTAAGCGAAGCTTGTTGCGATGACCCTGCCCTCTACCCTCCGATCGCGCAATTCCGATTCTATGGCAGAATTTAGAGTCCAAAGTTTAACGTGCGCACAAAGTCGCGCACGGCCGGTCCCCTCTCTGACTTCGCCTGGCTACAGCCTGCCACCAACCGCAACCATACCTGTCAGGAGGCCCATAAATGTCGAGCGCCCGTCACGCTTCGAACCCGGACTGTTATAACCGGGAACGCGTGCTCTCACCACGCGGAGTCCAACGCTCTAACCAACTGAGCTACGGGACCGGCTTTATCACGGATCATCGGCGTCTAGCACTGCCGGGTATCCAGTGGCCAACATGGGCACCCGACAGCATATCTCCCCACCCGGCCCGAGCTGAGCCGTGATGAATCCTAAGTCGTGAGCCGCGCGCCAGACATCGTCGCAGTGCGCTAAAAACGTCGACCGCGCCAGACGTGTGTCATCCGATCTAAAAACGCTCATATGAGTTGCAGTAGTCAAGGTCGTTGGTTGGCGTACCTGAGCGACGCAAAACCGGTAGGGTGACCCCGCGGAAGGAAAGGATTGCGAGTCGTGACCCGGGAGACGGAGCCACGGGGCCGTGACCTACGTGGTGACCGGTGCCATTAAATACCCGATGACTAGCCAGTAGCCTTTCCTTGACCCGCCATGGCCGGTGTTTTTAGATCTGCCTGGTGTCGTCAAAATTAGAAGTGACAACGATACATGATAAAGAGAAATTAAATTTCGACCTAAGCGTTACCCTGGCCTCTGATAGCTGACTCTGACACAGTGTTTTATCTTCATTGTTTAATGCTTACCGATACATTGGTCAGTGCTCGCTCAGCGGTAAGTCTCCTGGCCAATTTGGTATCAGTGAAGTGTGATGAATGCCTTAAATGTGATTACTGGGACCGTAATCGATTGCATGCGTAGAGAGGCCAAGGAATTTCTATCGCGTCACACTGTGCTGGTTTTATTAAATGCCAGCTTAACCCTCGCATGTGTGCGGCGTTTTCCAGCTTCTAATGTGTAGGGGGGGGGGGGTCGGTTGGACCCCCCTTGCCGTTTGGCCCCTGATCGAGCTAGAGCTTCGCGGAAAAAACGAGCGTGTTGCCCGTGACGAGAGGAAGCCGATGATACCCAATTTTAAGGTCCTAGGTCATTGGTTGACCTTCCAGGTCAGGTCAATGACCCAAGGTCGGGAAAATCGGGACCTGTTAGAAAGTCGTAAAGTGTGGCTGCTAAGGGGTTTTTCGGGGTGCTGATCACGAATATCGTGTTAGTTTTGATCACAGATGATGTTTTTAAGCATTTAGACCAGGTCGGGTCAGGTCAGGTCAGGTCAACCAGTAGGCGTCGTGACGGGTATTAGTATTACGTGTCAACCGCCTCTGACAGCTTCGTAACATGTTACGAAGTCACCAAAACTACTTCGTAAATGTTCAAATGGTTGCTAAATTCGAATTCAGCTCCAAAAACTAGCCTAGAAACATGTAAAACTCGAAAAAGTGAACCGAGGTCACCAAAGGTCAATGACCTGACCTGACCTTCAGGTGACCTTGACACCCACCCTAATGCATGGGAGCAACATCATATCACATGTTTGAACGCTTGAAACCACGAAAAGACTGCAAACGCGCGGCTAATGCGAGCCGACATACGCGGAATCGCGATTCCGGCCAAACATGGTCTCGGAAAAGAGGTCACAGGTCAAAGGTCATTGGGGTCAGGGTCATGAAATTTTCAGGGTAGGTGTAAAATTGATCAATGCGAGGGTACTAAAAGTTTCGTCGCGATCGGCCGCTTTTTACGCGAGTTATTCGCGAAAAACCATGGGGGGGGGTCCATCCGACCCCCCCTACACATGCGAGGGTTAAGGAAAGTGCAAACGGATTGCCCTTATAGCTGGCGACGATTCAACAGGTTATGGGCTTGATCCTCGATCTTCGATAGCTCACTACTTAAGCCATTTAAGCTGTATTTAGCGGGACCTTCAAGGCTTGTTTACCTTGGGGATTCGAAGAATCTCAAAGGCGATGTCGTAGACGAAGATGTTCAATAACATAGGGATTGTGTCGCGAATATAAATCACGAACCAAAGATCATAGGCGTCAGCAATGACCCAGCGATTGCGTCAGTCTTGCGACAATGCTAAAAAAAGTAGCGTCATGGAGATTTCAAAACAAGCCAATGAAAAATGTCGACTACCGGGAAAAAAATGTTTTGATGCCACCAAAGCCGACATTGACATTGTTCTCCCGGCCGTGAGGCAATAAAATGTTGTCAGATCTAACCTGTTTCATTTAATCAGCTCGTCTAGCCCAAAGCCGGGCTCCTGTCAAAGGGAATACTGCAAGACGCTGGCGTGCAACTTAGGGCTTTACCAGTGTTACTCGGATCTTTGACACATTGTGGAACCCCTCACCATGTCAGGTGGCGGATTGGTTTTTAGATAACGTTACAGATTAGCACGTGTCGCCACCAAACCACAGCTTCTGATCCTCTGTATCCTGTATATTGTCACGGCTTTAGAAATGATGCTGTCGAACTTTTAACCCGCAAAGAAGATGAAACCAGTCCTTCTGTAGGTATGTAATAACGCAAGCTGTCAAAAATCCGGAAAAAAGTATCCTGGGTGGTTGACTAATGCGCGTAAGAACCTAAGACCTAATGCGCTTACCTGCCTCTGACACCTGACTCATGATTGCAACCTGTAAGTAACCCATGTACTTTGGACTAGCTACCATGTCGTGTCATGTAATATATCATAAGCAGATATTGTTGCTTCAGCGTTCGTAACCGAAACACGTTCTCTACTTAGCTTTTCAATTCCTTTCTGTTTCTTCCCAGGCGTCTTGGTCCCTCATCCATGTTCCCTCTTGTTTCCTCATCCCTGCTCTACCTGCCCCGCCTCTCATCTCCCGTCCCTCAACTTCTATACGGGACCCCTCCATTCCCTACCCTTCCCTCCGTCCCCCCTGTCTCACCCTGGGTGGGGCGCCCGGCCCCGCCCCGCGCACGGTCCGCTGTCTCACCCCGGGCAGGGCGCTGGGCACGGTCCCCCGCACGGTCCCCTGTCTCACCCTGGGCAGGTCACTGGGCACGGTCCCCCCGCACGGTCCGCTATCTCACCCTGGGCAGGGCGCTGGGCACGGTCCCCCGCACGGTCCCCCTGTCTCACCCTGGGCAGGGTGCTGGGCACGGTCCCCTGTCCCACCCTGGGCAGGGCGCCCGGCACGGCCCCCCGCACGGTCCCCCTGTCTCACCCTGAGCACGGCCGGGCGCTGGGCACGGCCCCCCGCACGGTCCCTTATCTCACCCTGGGCAGGGCGCCCGGCACGGCACCGCGCACGGTCGGGTAGAAGCCCGTCTTGTCGGCCGTGTAGTCCACCTTGACGACGCGCTTCAGCGGGTCCAGGTACTGGAACGAGCCCACCACATTGCCGCTGTCGTCCCGAGATTCGCTGCGGAGAGACACAGGGTCGTTGTGAGTGTCAGGAGGTAGGGAACGCTTACATCATTTATGGATACAGAACGAAGTGCTTTATCCTCTATGGACGCTCCATTTTCGTTGAACGTCATTTTTGCAAGCTGCTTTTTACTTTGATTGTGTATTTCTCGTTAAGTTATCCACAAGTTTGCTAGTGTCGGTCAATCACAGACACCAAAGTGATAATTGAACGGGTTTAACATTTATTTTGCTCGCTTAGTCTACCGCCGTTCATAGTCTGTGGACGTCAGCGTCCACGGTCTTACCTGTGCGTGCGATCCACGTGGTTGGGGAACCGGCCGGCGTCATACGAGAAGCTGTACGGCCGCCGCGGCCCGCGCGGCTCCGCCCTGGCCCGCGGCTGGCGGAGCTCGGGAGCCGCCTCCTGAGGCTGGCGCAGCTCGTTCTCGGACCGGCGCAGCTCGACAGCCGGCTGCCGGCGCCTGACAGCGGGCTGCGACGGCTCCTCCAGCGGCTGCGACGGCTCCTTCAGAGGCTGGCCCGCCGACAGAGAGAGCTCGTTGACGGGCTGCGGCAGCTCCTCGAACCGCTGCGGCAGCTCGTCGAGTGGCTGCAGAAACTCGTCTCTGGAGTCGGGCAGGCCGAACTCCAGTCCCAGCGGCTCGTCGAGCTCTCCCTCTCCGGAGCCGTCCGCTAGCTCCTCGCCGTGATCGTGGGCGTGGTCGTGGTGGTCGTGGTCGTGCTCATGGTGGGCGTGGTCATGGTGACCGTGGTGGGCGTGCTCCAGGCCGTCGAGGAGCTCAGGCCGAGCGCAGACGGCTGCAGCCAGCAGCTGTTGGTCACAGGGGACAGGAGTGGGGTCAGACGGCTTCGGGGTGATAGCCGGGTCAGAGGGTCGGTTTGGAAGGCAGAGGCCTGCTCAGAAGGGTCAGAAAGGTCACTGTCGTCGACTTATTGAATTCAATTGCTGGTCAAAGAGGTAAATGGTTGTGGCTTGTGCAGGGGCGCGGGAACTACTTTCCGACTGGGGGGGCACACCATAATAGAGATCAACCTAGGGTACCCCCAAATCTAGTTTTCTCACCGGTTTTAGGCCACTTATTTTTCACCCCTCGGCTTTTTCAACAAAAAAGAAAACATTTGCAAAAAAAAGTGTGGTATTCCGTCTCATAGCTGTGGGGGCACCGCCCCCACGGCCCCAGAGTTGGGGGGGGGCAAGCTGCCCCCACTGCCCCCCCGGCTCCCGCGCCTATGGGCTTGTGACTGATAAGCACTACCTACCAAGAGTCAAGACAGAAAAGATTAATTAGTTTGATATCGGTTTCGCCACTGCCTTTTAAAATTTAAAGACTATTTAAAGTTGAACGAATTAGTAATATAAACACCGGCATTTTTTCTGCGTAAAAAAATATACTTTCAATTAGTCTTTGTGAAGCTGTCTTTATCGTAATGCCACCTTGCGGGCATATTAAATTTTGGTTCAGAGGAAAATAGATGGCCATAGGAAAATTAATCATGTTCACAGAGCCTCTGGTCCACCGCGATGCATGTGATCTCTGCGGTCTGCCGATGTATGGCACCCCAGCTCTAGTTTGTGCACCGGCCCGATGTAACTCATCCCACTCACCAATGTCAGTAGCAGCCTCATCGTGTCAGTAGTCGGTACGCCAGTGGGTCACCCGTCGGCCAGCCGGTCCCAGCTGTGCTCTCAGCACAGCCCGCGCCGCTCTAAGTAGAGTCCCGCCGCCGCATCCCGGCCGCTGATTGGCTGCGACAGGTCTGACGCGGGCGCTGATTGGCTGAGCGCCCCCCCCCCCCCCACTGGGTTAGGAACGTCCCGAGCTACCTTTCTCTGTCGGCGAGGAGATGGAACAGGTCACCGTGTGATTCAGAACGACAGATCACAGGGGAGAGGACAGAAATCCCAGCGCCTGTCCGTCTCAGTGGCGTGTGGTCTGTTCCCCGATCAAATACCGAGTCTCATGTGGAGTCTCTTTCCACATCAAATACCCATATGAGTCTCACGTGGAGTCTCTTCCCAGAGCAAATACCCATGAGTCTCATGTCGAGTCTCTTCCCAGAGCAAATACCCATGAGTCTCATGTGGAGTTTCTTCCCAGAGCAAATACCCATGAGTCTCATGTGGAGTCTCTTCCCAGAGCAAATACCCATGAGTCTCATGTCGAGTCTCTTCCCAGAGCAAATACCCATGAGTCTCATGTGGTGTTTCTTCCCAGAGCAAATATCCGTGAGTCTCACGTGGAGTCTTTTCCCAGGTCAAGTAATATCCATGTGTCTCATGTCCATGTGGTCTCGGGTTCGTCAGACTTAGCCGCCGGTTTCAAACTGACCACTCCTCTCCCACATGGGTGGAGCTTTTCCGGGGAAGTCGGTGGGGTAAAAAGGCATCAAGCCTACATTGGCAGATTGTCAAGTTGAATAAAATGAACACTGAATCAATTCCCATCATTAGAGATGCAACATTTTGCATAACACAGACATTACAAAGCTCCTCAATGCGGGAAAAATAAAAGCAAAGCAACAAAGTCCTACAAATCAACTAAAGTTGGTGGGGCAAAACGCTAATCGGTGGGTCCAAATCGGGGGCGGTTGCCCCACAAACTGTATAGGAAGCTCCGCCCCTGCTCTACCATATTCACCTACCCGTTAAAAATTGGATCGTTCGGCACGAGCCAATACCGGTACTGTTCGAAGAGGATGATTGAAAGAAAAAATGAGGGCTATGTTTTGATCCAATCGACCGAGAAATTCAGTCGAATCATTGGTAGATTTAATTATCCCTAAGCAATATTTATGTTTCTGAATAATATCGTAAGAAGGAAATGCAAACAATCAACTTGCAGCTTGCACAGTGGCGAAGTGGTAGGGCGTCTTCATGCCCCCTCCCCCAAGGGTCTTCGCTTAAACTGAGCCAACCGCCTCCAGGGGCCAAACAGAGTGTAAAATGTACCTAAATTAATGTGAAATAAATCCAGAATATAAATCTGAGGAAAAACTACAAAACAAAACTATTCTATTGTTTTTATTGTATGTTTTTATTGTAAAAACTATTGATTGGCTTTTTTGCGATGTTCGGTACAGCTCTAGTTATTCACGCGTTTGAGCTAATTGATCCCAAATCGTAAACAACAGGAATATTTTACATTTCAGTAGTTGCTGGTGACATGACCCTATAACTGTATGATTTTGGTACCTTTCTATTGCCGCTTACCTACCACTTACTGGTCGTTACGTGTCTCAGAAGCCGAGTTGGATGGGCGCGGTGCCCACTCCACCTTTCTCCCGCCACCTTCGAATGTCATACGATTGGTTCACTGTCCTGGCTCGGTGAAACGGTCCTTTTCACGTAGTTTCGATGATGGAAAAAAACTGCTACGGTCGACTTCAGAGAGGTCACTCAGGAGCTTCGATTGATCCGCAACTGAGAAGTTTTTCTAACGATGAGTCAAAGTGACAGAAACTGTCACCGTCTGTTTTATTTCAGTGGAAACTGATTGATACCTATCGCTGCTTAGGGTAATGCTATAGTTCTGCTAAACGCTTCGTCACTTTGTGTGGGTATTATACGGCATTATACATTATATTACAATCATACGTTTACTCCGTCTTTCGGTTATAGCTGTAGGAGCCTTGGGCCGATGAATTTCTCGGCCCGTTTTCTCCTCGTCATTGCCAATATCATAGACCTCTGTATACATGTCAATATCCATGTCTTAATTTGCTTTGTTCTCTGGTTCAATGCCAGCTGGCCAATATCAGCCTGACCTCTGCAGTTGGGTGGAGACACTGCTGAGTGCTGATAATATCCAGAATAACGGCCACAACGCTGATTTATCGTCTGCTGCGGCGAAGGAGACTCGACAGCGAAAACTCCGACTGAGAAAAAAATGTTATCGCCGCGGACTCATGCTGGCTGGTGTGAAATTAATGTCGTCTGTCCCGTTGGATCAACTTATCGGTCACGGTAGCTCCCTGACATTTGAAACACAAGTGAGAATTTCGACTTATTGTCAGACTACCGTGCGCCGATAGCGGACATGCGGTTTTGTAGCATCTAGATCGGAATACTGGTCTCCAACATTTATAGAGTGGTATTTTTAACAAATGTGGGGGCGAAACTTCAGGGTCGAACATGGGATTTGTGACCAAGCATCGATAATGTCAGGTTTCGTCTTAGGCACTCGTAATATGGGTCATGCAGAATATAAAGAATGCACTGCAATGCTGAAGCTTCAGGGTTTGCATATTGAAGGTCACAAGTTCCTATTTAAATTGTTTGGGCTTGGGTGAAGGAGGATGGCTTTGAAAAAAGTGTGATCACTGTTAGACTTGTTAGGTTTCTTTCTATACTTCTATCTTTACGTTCAGCAGTGTTACATACACACATACACAGATAAAACACTGGTAAGTAGGCGTTGCTTATCTTGTGTGGGCTGGAAGCGAACTGTGGAATGGCAGGCGCGCTCCGTACGAGTCTGCAGCTATCGGCTAGGAACGATAGCAACATCCCTCATCAATATTCAAACACACGCTAATTCTATTCACGTCGTGTCTCACTCTACATGTTTGACGTTCTTCCCACGACACAAATGCTACAATCAATTCCAACACTGTCATGTGCGTGTAACCACGCGCGCCTTATCTCTCACGTAGCCCTGCGCAAGAACGCAGCTGTGTGACTTTTTAGGCATATTTGTTTTACGGATGTTCTGTTGGTTACTGCCATGTTGTTTAGTCTGAGTAACTTGCATCCCTCAAGAGCAACTTTTATAACGGCCAACGTCTTGGTTGTCAGTTGCATTTTTGTGTATCGCGACTAATATATGGCATCGAAAGTCAATTTGCATGCATGTTAAACGATGGATACGCGTGTACCATGTCGCAAACACATTGCACAAATGCGTATCTAGGATAACAACGTTTGTTTAGTACCTACTTATTATACACTGATAAGCCATTAAGTGTAAGTTGATCACTGTAACGTAGTTAAACGCGGCCAGACGAATTACTTAAGGGCTCAAACAGTTTATCAACACGGCATCGACGGACAAAGCATGCGTCCCATTTAAAACAATTGATCGTACCTAGACGGAAAAAAAAGAAAAAGAAAACTTACAACAACCTCAGAAACCTAATCCTCGGTGGCTCTGTCGTTTTACCGGAATTGAAGTAGGTAATTTTACCAGTGTTTTATCTTGAGAGGTGCTTTTGGTTGCGAGAGGATATTTCAGCACCTTTAACCCCCAATTATCTACTCTTTTTTAAGCTATAATTCGTTATAATCGTTATAACCTTTTGATTCTCGTCACCTGCTAGTTCTATTCTCCTCGCTAGATGTCTCTAGCGGCGCGCGCCTGAGAGCATGCTGTGCCGCATGGCGCGCGGTGCTGTAAACAGAGCGAGGCCCGGGCCGACGCGAGTTGGAACTTGGAGGTGACAGGTGATGCGGTGGCTATGCTTGTATGCTAACCTTTCCGGCATTCCGCCATTCGTTTATTTTGGAAGCTTCGACTCGCTGTCGTCGGTAACCCTCGTGCGCTTACAGCTACGTCGGAATGATTGATAATACGTGAACGGAGCATGGATGGGCAGTATTTGCTGGTCAGTGCGGCAGTCTCGCGCCAACCCTATGATTCGCTGGCCACTGTCACCATTATGGAGGCAGTGGTCAGCGGTGGCTTGTCGTTTTTGTTGTCGGCTCTTCATGGGAATGACACGGTCACCAAATTCCAAGAGCGGTTACTTGTAGAAGATTAGTTGGCAATTATCTTCTTTTATTGTGAATGTCCTTGGACGTCCTTGTAATTTCTTAACAAACTGAGCACCCATTTTAGCAAGGTCTGCGGTTATAGACATGTGTTAAGTATGACGTGAAATACTGGTTTCCCGTTACGTATAGTTGCTCAGAGCCGGGCGGCGTTCCATTGTTGTTTAGCGGTCAGGGACCGTGTACGGCTGAGTGTGGTTGGAGCTTTTCCCTGCAACGCAACACAACCCATGAAAATAATTGGAGGATGGGAAATACAGCTAACTATTACCGCAAATGGTGAGAGTGAGAATCGTGCAACTGTTAAACTGTTGGTATTTTTACAAATAATTATTTTTACTTTCCTTTAAAGGTAGTGTGCCACCTTTGAAAGATTTCCCATTTTATTTTTCCTAGGATAAGAAGCTTCTGTTTTTACCTAATATCGCAAAAAAAATCAAAAATGGGCCTGGAATAGTGCCTTTTTCGCCTAAAAGTTTATCGGTTTTTAGATATGTATAACAACTGTAGTGGGCTCACCTGCAAACAGGCGTCGGGCAACAATCGCGAATGCGGCGCACTTGTGACAATAAGCAAAGGTCATTATAGTGTTACGACCATACGACGTACGGGAATGAGTTATCAGCTGTCTAATCGTAGACAACACAATGTCGAGCCTTAAACTGTAAGCCCGTATTGGTATTGTTTCTTTTATTTGGCTGTCGAACATTATTTATGGTTTGAAATATGATTTTATGTAAAATAATTGATATGAAAAAGCCGTCTTATAAGTTATGACCCCATTTCACCACACGCAAGTGGCAGAAATGACAATGATCAGCTGACGCATTTTTCTTGGCCGAAGTCAGAGCGCGCAGCCCGACGCACCACCACCGCACCACAAAGTATGAGCAGAAGCCGCGCCCAAAGCCAGGGCCCCGGTAACGTGAGGTAGCCGAGTCGGGGCAGCGTGCGCTGACCCAAGCCGGGGCCGCAGCTTTGGGCGCGGTCTACCGCATCCCCGCGGGCAGCCCCGGGCTATCACATGACACCGGGAGGACGCGCGGCTCCGGCTTGGGTCAGCGCACGCTGCCCTGACTCGGCTACCTCACGTTACCGGGGCCCTGGCTTTGGGCGTGGTCTACCGCACCACCTAACAGGCGTGTTCGAAACCGCAGGAGCTGATGATGAACGGGTTTATCGAAACTTGATTGGATGAGCATATCGGTAATAGCGATTTCAGAGTGTGCATTTATTGTTCATAGTGGTGTGAAATGTGGTTGGGGTACGACTGACAACCCGTCGGGGCGAATTTCGCACTGGGGTACTCAAAATTTGAAGAATTTAAGACGTTTCCATGAGTTTTGAAGGTATGGATAAGTTCTAAAAATCCGGTTCTCCTTATCTGGGCCATTAACTCCAAACGGTCCAAGAAAGCTGGCACACTACCTTTAACAAACTGGAGAGATACAGCTAACCTATGTAAGAGTAATATTTCGTTTATCTACACTGAAAAAAACTTACACCTAGAGAGTTAGTTTTGGAGTTTTTCCACTCCAGTTTGGCGAATAATCACGCACCAATGGCATATAATGATTATGTTTTGTAGCGTATTCTTACTCTCTGCATTGCATTAAGGGCGTTTTTGAAAGTTATTCTTAAACTTGGTACTATAATCATCTCTTTTGTGTTTTAGAAAGTGGTAATTTTATCTTCTAATTTTATCACGTGTCCTTTTTATTCTTTTGGGTTATAAATTTATATCAGTCTCAAAGAGGCATGGGGTAATTTTAACTTATTTCACAGTGATAAACAAGGTCATTGGAATATATTTGTGCTGAACTCCCATTAGATGGTAATAAAATTGACAGCTAGAGTACTTTTATCAAAACTGCATAAAAATAAACCGCTGTGGAGTAATTAGGGTAATTTTTATACTCCATTACGGCTGATAAATTGACGCGACAGAATAAAACTATTCTCATTTAGGTGTAAAAATTACTTCCTTCGTGATAAAACTATCATGTCCGGACAATAATTTTATAACCATGGAGTAATATTATGTGGTAGCATTACTAACATTATTCTTCGGGAGTATTCGGGAGCGTATTTCAAGCAATACTGTATCACTTTCTTGATAATCCTATTCCGTTGTGACATAACTAATCTAAAAGTGATTAATCTATTCGTCCAGCACAGTATTATTCCAAGTATAATATTTTCGGAACGTCTCTTCAGTTCGCGACCATTCGCGACCGCCATTGTGCTCAAGTCGTCAGAACCAAGGCCTTCTGTCAGAGAACCGAGCAAGCGTCCCAGTCCTCGAAGGTAAGCTGAAATTACTGTATACTTTGTGTTTTGTTAGTATGACTTAACAGTAATCCGTAGTATGACCATACAATCCAAGAAATGCGTTGACGTAGATTTGCGGACGAAGATTTCCGCGATGATGAAATTCTGGAAGACAAATTGTCAAAACAAATTGACAAATTGTTGTTACAAACAAACAAAACAAATTGTTAAAACGGTCATATCCGGACATCTACTTTTTGTTGTTTCTATCCTCCCAATAATATCACGATAGAAGAAAACACGTTTAATGAACGTATTTATATCTTGTTCAGTGTTCACTGCCTGATAAAGCTGTCCATGAAATTAAAAAAAAAACGGTTCTTTTCTTTCTCAAAGGTGACTCTGCGGAAGAACAGCTTCCGACAGAAACTTCGGAACAGATTCAAAAACTGTCGAAAGCCATTGAGCATTGAGCAACGCCGTCATCGACACGGAAAGACGAGCCAGGGGCATCGTTGTGAAAAAGCGTGCGGCAGCTGAAGAGGGGATGCCGGGGTCGGGGATGTTTCCCAAAACGAAGAAGTCGCAGCTAGACATCTGCACCGAAACCGCCAAGTTCAGTGCCAAGCTAAAGCACGCCGATGTCACTCACAAGACATCTGTTCTCAAAGATTCCTTCGAGGTTCGGCGGATATGCCTCACGAGCAACCGAAACCGGAAGACTGGCGAGGAGATGAAGGAGATATTCCCGGATATGTACAGCGAAGCTGCCGTAAGTGTTGCTTTATTCGGTATTTAAAAGTCTTGTCTAATGTTATGTGCAATTGAACTCGAGATTCCTTTACTAACAGGGTAGTTCAGTAGGAAAATTTGACCGCCACGGTGACGTCACAGTGGCTATGCGTAAGCGTGGTGTAGTTAAAATGTCACATTTGACATCTGTGCCTTTTAACCCTCGCCCTGGCAGGGGGGGGGGTCGATGCGACCCCCCTAAGGTTTTTCGAAGATAGCGTAAAAACGGCGCCAAATTTGGCACAGCCTATGGGGCAACCTTTTTACATATGACCTGAAAATTTCAGGTCCGGGTGACCTTGGTTCCGGTCACCAGGTCAGAAAAACCGGTACAAGGTCATGGTCAAATTTCAATTTTCTTTTTACGCCTGTCCAACTCACAGTTTTCGACTGATTTCCTTCAAACTTTCAGGATGTGCTAAGTTCACCGAGTTGTATAACATATAGTCCGGCTTTTTTGAGGTCACTGACCTGAGGTCAGTTAGCCCTATTAGTGGCAGTGGGGGTTGTTTTTATCCACCCCTCAGGTTTTTCGGGAATATCTCCGAAACCGCTGAAGCTACGATGCTGAAATTTTCTGACTTTTCCTAAAACTAAATTGGGCACATTCCCTGAAAATTTCAAGTTTATAACTTTACCAGGGGCGGCTCCAGACTACTGGGAATTGGGGGGTCCTATTCGTGAAGCGAGTCATTTGGGCGAAGATCACGATGCTGCACCAGTTTTACGAACAGTGAATGAAATTTATCATGTGATAACATATACAAAGTTATTGTGCATCCTCTTTTGACACGTTTTTGCTATAATAGGCGGATCCAGGCGTCCAAAAAGGGGGGTCATTTTTTACCTCCCAACATAGGTGCCCTGACACCGCCTATGCATGACCAATACAATTTTAGTCGTTCTCTCATAAGAAAATTGTAACATAACAAGACCATTGCCACCCTTTTTAGAAACAGTACCAACAAAAACCTTATTTACTATACTTTTTGTGTACCCCCAATCTCAATGATCTGTATCCGCCTATGATTTTTGAAAATGCATATTTTTAGGATCCATGTGAATTCCTGGTTCATTCTCTATCGATCGGCAAAAGTTGCGTTAAGATTGGTTCAGAAACCTGGCCGTGATAAACAGTCTAAAATGTATCTGTAATTTGCCCGTTTTTACCCCCTCTACCCCCCTATTGACATTTTTTACTTTTATTTTTTTAGAAATGTAGATCTCGTTGAGCCAAATCGAATGCCGTTTGAATTTTGAAAATCGGCCGGTTAGATCTCGAGATATCAAGGGGGGTCGTAAACAGCCCCCCCTGCCACTAATAGGGGGTAGCCAGGAGCCTGCCACTAATAGGGTTAGAGGTCATTACGTCGTAATGTTAAGCCTATGGGAAAATACTAAATTCGGAAAATACTGGAGATATCCACTTCGTTCTATCACTTTTTTGCTTTGAAACCACGGTACTTAACAGCAGGTCACTTGGTGCTTCTTTGTTTGGTGTACTTATCCATGGGTCAGGTCAAATGAGGTCAACTGAGGTCAAATGACGTTTTTGCCAATAACTTGGCACATAATGACGCTAGAGCTTAAAAAATGGTATCATTGTGTTCCTGGTGATCAGCCGAATCGAATGATATGCGATATGATGCAATTTGGTTAACTTTAACTTAATTTATTAATTTAAGTTTACTTAGATTTAAGAAAAACTTTAAGTACACTTAAGCAAGCTAAAAAGTATATCATTCGACGCGCCTTGACGTGCTGAGTTCACTGGTGCTTTTCTTTTTGCTCTATCTTAATTAGATCAAAAGTTATAAGCGAAAAACTTTTGACCTGTTTTTAGCGAAATTTTTACATTTATACCCCCCCCCCCCAAAACCCCCCTAAATATTGACCTAGAGCAACCAAATTTGCACAGGGGCGAGAACTCCGGGGGGCCCACCTACCTACCAAATTTGGTGTTTCTAGGTGCCATAGGAGCCAATCGCGAGGGGGGGGGTCGCATCGACCCCCCCCCTGCCAGGCCGTGTTATGAAAAATGCCCTGCCAGGGCGAGGGTTAAGGGTGGATTATCGAGAAACGGGGCTTCAAACATTCATGTAAACGTGTTTTTTTATAAACTTCCCAATTATAAGCTCGCCAGTTGACCCAGATGATCACCATCTTCCTATGTATTATGAATGCGTGGGAACTTTTTTCCCGCCAGCGCGGCAGCGTGATGTAACGGTAAAGGAATTTTGAAACTCTTTAACGGGGTATGGTTGAACTGAACTAACTATATAATTAGTGGCACCATTTTATATCCGCGCTATCAGGGAACAACATTGGATAGGAAAACATCTGGAAAATTTGTATAATTTTTAACCCACTCCCTCTGCTTTTTCTACCGCCTGCTGGGAAGTCACCCCCCCCCCCATCCCATCTAACTTGGCGGTTCCTAAGCAACGTAACCGTAACGAAACGCTCAAGGCGGAGTTGGGAATCTTGTCACAAACCATGACGAAAGCATTCCAGTCATTTTATCAGGTAAAAGATCACCAGAGGTTGACACTTGACGTGGCGCGCTTTCAAACTTTTTGTGAGCTTGAATAACTTACCTGACCTGACCTTCCACAATGATATAATGTTCACTTGATGTTGCTTGATGTTAATTCCATTCATTAATGTGATTTTGCGATGTTTCCAGGTGTGGACTGACTTGGGAATGATCATGGGGCTCGAGGAGGACGTGAAGGAGCATGTCCTGCACAAAATCAGACATACCGCGAAGAAGTGTGCCCAGACGATGATAAACGTGGAGCCGGCCGAGAAAGACGGTGAGTTTTGAACGGGCACAAGCACACCTTTTCGGATGAGGTGTTCCGCTAGCAACAATCGTGCCGGGGGGGGGGGGGGGGGTACTCTTCTTCTATATAACTGGGCTCGAGCCGATCATCGTAGACAATATATTCCTGGCCAGGGCTGGAATAATGTTTAGATCTGTTTTTTTTTTTTTAGCGAATGCAAAGTTAGGCCCGAGGTATTTTCGATAAATACGAGGTCAGGCCAAAACATTAGCCAAGACCAAGTGTAGGAAGGTATTTCCCACGCATGCTTCTTCCTGCACGATGGAGAAATGACGTTTCACATATCCCAATAGCGTAATACATTAATAGAGAGAGAGAGAGAGAGAGAGAGAGAGAGAGAGAGAGAGAGAGAGAGAGAGAGAGAGAGAGAGAGAGAGAGAGAGAGAGAGAGAGAGAGAGAGAGAGAGAGAGAGAGAGAGAGAGAGAGAGAGAGAGAGAGAGAGAGAGAGAGAGAGAGAGAGAGAGGAGAGAGAGAGAGAGAGAGAGAGAGGAGAGAGAGAGAGAGAGAGAGAGAGAGAGAGAGAGAGAGAGAGAGAGAGAGAGAGAGAGAGAGAGAGAGAGAGAGAGAGAGAGAGGAGAGAGAGAGAGAGAGAGAGAGAGAGAGAGAGAGAGAGAGAGAGAGAGAGAGAGAGAGAGAGAGAGAGAGAGGAGAGAGAGAGAGAGAGAGAGAGAGAGAGAGAGAGAGAGAGAGAGAGAGAGAGAGAGAGAGAGAGAGAGAGAGAGAGAGAGAGAGAGAGAGAGAGAGAGAGAGGAGAGAGAGAGAGAGAGAGAGAGAGAGAGAGAGAGAGAGAGAGAGAGAGAGAGAGAGAGAGAGAGAGAGAGAGAGAGAGAGAGAGGAGAGAGAGAGAGAGAGGGAGAGAGAGAGAGAGAGAGAGAGAGAGAGAGAGAGAGAGAGAGAGAGAGAGAGAGAGAGAGAGAGAGAGAGAGAGAGAGAGAGAGAGAGAGAGAGAGAGAGAGAGAGAGAGAGAGAGAGAGAGAGAGAGAGAGAGAGAGAGAGAGAGAGAGAGAGAGAGAGAGAGAGAGAGAGAGAGAGAGAGGAGAGAGAGAGAGAGAGAGAGAGAGAGGAGAGAGAGAGAGAGAGGAGAGAGAGAGAGAGAGGAGAGAGAGAGAGAGAGAGAGAGAGAGAGAGAGAGAGAGAGAGAGAGAGAGAGAGAGAGAGAGAGAGAGAGAGAGAGAGAGAGGAGAGAGAGAGAGAGAGAGAGAGAGAGAGAGAGAGAGGAGAGAGAGAGAGAGAGAGAGAGAGAGAGAGAGAGAGAGAGAGAGGAGAGAGAGAGAGAGAGAGAGAGAGAGAGAGAGAGAGAGAGAGAGAGAGATAACTGTATTTGACAGACTCGAGGTCCAGTACCAGTCACATCACATCAAAATTGTACCACTGTACAGGGCAGAGCACCACGCTCTCCGAATCGATGAATAACATGCCAGATCACTTTCATATAGGGAGGATACGATTCGGTTGTCCGTCTGGCTCAGGCGAGTCATGAATCCCTGAGGGCAGGACAACTGTTTATTTTCTTGATGATTTTTTTTTTTGGCTTAAAGGAAGACTGCCACCTTTTTTACACAAAACGGTTTTCACTAGACCTAACCCACCTATGACCTACCCTGAAGTCTGTTTCCCGAAATTCGGCCTAGTTTTCAAGATATCCGCAATTGGACTTCAGATTAAAGGGACCCTCCCACCTTCAAAAAAGTTTATGAATTGGTATGAAAGTGATGTCGCTCGGTTCAGAAAGAGCGAAAACGAATATCTACCAAATTTCACCGAAAAATATTCACCGGTTTTCAAGATATTAGACTTTTACTTTTGTTTACTTTTTTGGGATCTCCGCTGTTTCTAGCGACTTTATTTTAGAAGTGCGGCGTTTGCGGCAGATGTTGCGCGCATATAACATATACCACCGCGTGCTACAAAACGTTTTAGTCAAGCATTTAAAAATCGTTAGATATCTGCGCTGACGTCACACATTCAGAGGGGTATTCCTAAGCATTAGCCCCTCTGAATCAAAATGCTGCAATTTTGAAATTCAATATTTCCGAGTTAAGGCATTTCTCGATGTTGTGAGTGCCGAAACCGGTAATTGTGAGCCAGGGACCCCATTTTGGCTATCTCAACTCAAATCTAATGTTAAGGTGGGAGGGTCCCTTTAAAGCCATCACAAATGTGTGGAATATGGGAATGTAACATTACCATGTTAAAATCCCATCTCCCACACTTTTTGTGATGGCATCAATGTGAAGTTCGAATGCGGATATTTCGAAAACTAGGACGAATTTCGGGAAACGGACTTCAGGGTAGGTCATAGGTGGGTCAGGTCTACTGAAAACCGTTTTGAACCGAAAAACCGTAAAAAGGTGGCGGGACAACATGTTGTACCTCACCTTTGGACAGCCAATCGTCGTTGGTTTTGCTATTAGTCAAAAAGTGTTGTTTAACTCTAGTGATATTGAAAAGTCATGGTTGTCTCCATTCAGGTTGTCTCCATTCATGGTTGTCTTCATTGTCTCCAAATATACGACAGTTACATGCAGTTTGATACCTACTTGCACTCCATACTTAACCATGACAGCGGAACATCGGGTACTAATTTCTTATTTCACTGAAATATTTTAACGACGCATAATTATTTTGTAATTATGCACCACGTTTAGTTGTAAGAGTGTATCGTACTACGCAAACGTACTACGCATCGTATTACGATTTTGAGAGTGAAAAGAAATCAGGAAGAAGCGAAGAATCGTCTCCAGATACTGTAGATGGCATAGCCAGCTACTGTACGAACGCGGTTCCTTGTTTCTCTCCTAGGTTTCCTTTACGTTTATTTGTACGATATGCATTGATGCCAACTGACTGCAATATTCTTTTTCACGGCAGACGACGAGCTGCTAGCTCTACTTGCCTATGGTTGTGGAACAACCATTGGCACCTTGGCGGATCCGAGAAACGGGGTTCGTCAGGCAGGTGAGGAACTATCGGTGGACGGTGTGGTGGTCTGCCAACTGCCGGCCACCAGGTTGGAGGCCGTGGCCCTAATGACGGCCGCCCACGCTGTCTTCTACACAAAGTTCACGGGGCCCTGCAGGGCCCTGTTCGACATTCTTTACCGGAGTGTGGGATTCGATGTAAACCTATCTGGCTTATCACAGAAGGTGTGGGAGGTTACCCAGGTAGTGTAGAACCAGCATCGGAGATGCCCACTTCGAATGACTGGCGACCTGTGGCTCACCTGTGGTTCAAGTGACTCGTGACTTGTGGCTCACCTGTGGCTCAAGTGACTCGCAACGTGTGGCTCACACTACTGGAGCCTCTGTATTATGACTAATTCAGCTGCGGCGGTCTCAGTACGCCAATGAGTCTCAGTACGTCTTTCATAGCCCAGATCACGCTCGTTTTATATGCCATCCGTGGCGGTGGTTCTGTGCGCAGATGTTATTCGTTAGCCTCAGTGTTAACCATACACGCTCGTTTTATCTGCCATCCGTGGCGGTGGTTCTGTGCGAAGATGTTATTCGTTAGCCTCAGTGTTAACCATAACGCCCTTGTGAGTTGTGACCTTGAACGTCCTTCCAGTGATTTCGCATTGCGGCCGGCAGAGACGAAGTTTTGCCTCCCAGTTGAGACGCCGCTTCTCAACTAGGAAGCAAAATTACGTCCCTGTCGGCCGCAATGCGCCATCACTGGAAGTGCGTCCAAATTAAGATGTACCTGCTGATGCTCAGGTACCATTCGTTAATCAATTGTTGGTGTTTCAATACATTGTTTAAATGCATTCCTTATTTTACACTTGGTCATAATATTATCACATCACCCCGCATTATCAGGGGTGGTACTTTTACACCGGGGCTTGATTTTACCGGGGAGTTACTCCGGGGTAAAATTATCGAAAAAAGGAGTGCTTTTTGGCATGGCAATATTATTCCCCGAATGGGAGTAATTTTAGTATTAAGTTAATAAAATTATCATCTGGTGTAATTTTATCCAAAGATAGCATACTTTTATCCTCCGTCATAAAATTACTCCCTAGCGCGAATAATATAAGCGTTCGGATACTAAATATATTCTATATGCTAGTTTTATTCCCCAAAACTCCCCACTTTAGGCGCTTATGCCAGGTCATAAAATTATTCGATTGCAGGAGTGCTTTTTGGCATTCTAAAATTAGAAAATGGGGAGTAAGTTTTTTTCAGTGTAGACACGTATTTCGGAATGTTTTGCATGATTACCGTGAGTGTTGGGAAGTCGCCCGGTCATTTGTGGACGAAACAGTCAGGCACCTTCCGTTCCTCTATCCTGACGCCTCCGGCCCCCTTCAATTCAGTTGATGAGCCGAATGTTCGACACACGCGCGCTGAATGAGCATGGCCAATAGATGCGCCGAATGCCCTCGTAAGCCGCAAAAACATCACTCTGTCGGTCTTGGCGCGGCGGCCGTCAGGCGTCAGTGACGCGGCCGAGGCTGACCCTGAACAGGATTTCAGCCATGCGAACAGCTATCGACGCACGGGTGTTTTGTTTGTTGCTTTCGCAGGCCGCGAGTTTCCGTGTTCTATCGGTAAAGACACGTGTCCTGGCTGGATAAAATGGATTATCCCTGGCCTCTCGTACTTATATCCACTTCCTGCTTATCTACGTAGGACTAATACGAAATGACTAATCGTTCGGCCAGGCTGATAGATTGTATTATTTATTCTCTCGTGGACTGAGAGCGTTCATAATGAAGCGTCGATCGGCATGGACAGCTTACATTGGTTAACCCTATTCCTGGCGGGCTCCGCCGGGACAAGAAACTGGCGGGGGGGGGGCCGATTCGGCCCCCCCCCCTGAGATCTCGAGAACGAAGCAAGATAGCGACAAGCGGTAAACGGCATCGGATACACACGGCCAAGATCTACAATTTTTACTAAGGTCATTTTCAGGTCAGGTCAAAGATGACGTCACAGGGGTCGAAAAAGTCAAAATGGCGGCGCTAGATATGGAGAGAGTTTTTCTCGAATAACTTTCGAATTAGTCAAGATAGGAACAAACTAAGGGCATCATCGTGATCCTCTCGTCAATCCGCATCGAATGATATATATGTTGACCTCGAAAGGTCAAGGTCAAAGGTTGACCTCAGGTCACGTGACCTCGAGGTCATCATGTATATCATTCGATGCGTCTTGACGAGCTGAACACAATGAGACCATCCACGCGTCTGTATCTTGTTCCTGTACGGAGTTATTGGCCAAAAACCTTTGGTGACCTTTGATGACGTCACATGACCTCACAGCTGCCCAACAGCAAAACAGACCTCAAGGTAGTGAAGGTTGATCGTATATGAAGTCATGTATGGTATATGGGGCCATTCCGACCCGTTTTAGTGGTAAAAACAGGGAGTTGATTTTTCCCCCATTGACTTATAATGGGGAGGTCGCGAAATTGACCTGACCTTAGGTCACCGATATCAAAATTCCGAGATATACAAATTGCACATACTGGTACCGTAACTAAACCCTGAAGAGAAGAAATTGATCGGTCAAAAACTCTAGCTCTGGCGTGATTGCAAACTTTTCTGAGGTAGCGTCACCAAACCGCCTCTGGTGACCTGACCTGAGGTCAGATCAACTCAAAATTTTCAGACATGTTGCGTAGAAGCCTTTTAGGAAAAGTCAGAAAATTTGAGCTTCCTAGCTCAACGCGTTTGGGAGATATAACCAAAAAACCTCAGGGGGGGGGGCTCCTGAGGCCCCCCCCCGCCAGGAATAGGGTTAAATACCTGCATATAAGTCTCATCGAAATACTATTAGATAGTGTTTTTAATCAAATTTTGCGTATAAAATAAATAAGAGTTCCTAAATATTGAAATATCTTAATTGTTATTGTCTGACTGAATAGCCGCAACAGCTGTAAATCCTCGGAGTAAATACGTTACGGAGTTCATGTGCCGCTAACTTGTCGGCGGTCCCACGGCGCATCAGTGCCATCTCCATACGCTCCCGTCGGTCACACGACGCTTCCCTGCGCCCGAGACACTGGCCTTGAATCTCACGCCGAAAATAACGCCCGGACAAACGAATGAAATTCACTGATGTGATGAAGGCGTATCGTGGTGATGGTTCCCTGGGAAAATCCCTCGATCGGTAAAGATCACGGCCGGGATGGTTCCTCCTGCTAACGGTAGCACCACTGGGCGGCGGTAGTGGCGACGGCGACGGCTCCTTATCCTGACCTTGGGGCACTCCTGCGCTGGGGCCGTCTTAACAGCATTGGTGGGACTCTCTCGGCGCCGGCCAGTCGACCTCCGCCGCAAATTCCGACCCTGGGAGGTACGCAGTTCACTGAGACCGATTAGACGTCATAATAGCGGGCAAGCTGTCGCAGGTGCGCCAGAAATGACACGGGAGCCAGCTTGACAGTAAAAAACTGCAGTATGAATGTGTCATGCATAGTGCACGGTATCGTCAAAGCTGGACTGTAAGGGATGGAGCATTCCAGCAATGTAAGGCCGCTTTAACGGTGGGTGATGCCGGGTTGATTTATTGCAGTTAGCGGGGGATTAACTATAAGATTGGCCCTGAAACTGCTCAGAGGTCGAACCAATCCCTACTGCCGTTCGGTGTTTGTTGTTCTAATTTACAGTCGCCGCGTTCCGTGTTGCATAGCTGAGACGTTCTCACTTGTCATTTGTAGTTGTGCTTGTTCGTTGAAAGCTTCCTGGCGCCCAATAATGCGGCGCGTTTTCGCTACAGGACGGCCAAACTATTCACAACACATAGCAGGCCGCAGGTACCGTGAAACAAGATCAACGGCGGCAGTCAGAGATGATAGACGTCCAGAAAGATGATGATGCCGCTCGGTATTAACCCTATTCCTGGCGGGGGGGCCTCAGGAGCCCCCCCCCCCCTGAGGTTTTTTGGTTATTTCTCCCAAACGCGTTGAGCTAGGAAGCTCAAATTTTCTGACTTTTCCTAAAAGGCTTCTACGCAACATGTCTGAAAATTTTGAGTTGATCTGACCTCAGGTCAGGTCACCAGAGGCGGTTTGGTGACCCTACCTCAGAAAAGTTTGCAATCACGCCAGAGCTAGAGTTTTTGACCGATCAATTTCTTCTCTTCAGGCTTTAGTTAGGGTACCAGTATGTGCAATATGTATATCTCGGAATTTTGATATCGGTGACCTAAGGTCAGGTCAGTTTCGCGACCTCCCCATTATAAGTCAATGGGGGAAAAATCAACTCCATGTTTTTACCACTAAAACGGGTCGGAATGGCCCCATATACCATACATGACTTCATATACGATCAACCTTCACTACCTTGAGGTCTGTTTTGCTGTTGGGCAGCTGTGCCGTCATGTGACGTCATCAAAGGTCACCAAAGGTTTTTGGCCAATAACTCCGTACAGGAACAAGATACAGACGCGTGGATGGTCTCATTGTGTTCAGCTCGTCAAGACGCATCGAATGATATACATGATGACCTCGAGGTCACGTGACCTGAGGTCAACCTTTGACCTTGACCTTTCGAGGTCAACATATATATCATTCGATGCGGATTGACGAGAGGATCACGATGATGCCCTTAGTTTGTTCCTATCTTGACTAATTCGAAAGTTATTCGAGAAAAATTCTCTCCATATCTAGCGCCGCCATTTTGACTTTTTCGACCCCTGTGACGTCATCTTTGACCTGACCTGAAAATGACCTCAGTAAGAATTATAGATCTTGACCGTGCGTATCCGATGCCGTTTACCGTTTGTCGCTGCGATGTGTAGTTTTTGAGATCTGAAGGGGGGGGGCCGAATCGGCCCCCCCCCCCGCCAGTTTCTTGTCCCGGCGGAGCCCGCCAGGAATAGGGTTAATAGGGGAGCATTTTTGCCCTTCCAGAGCCTTTCAAAGTTATGAACTATAGGTAATGCCTTATCGTCACATGAGACCTGTTTTACTCTGTCATGCACTTATTTTGTTTTGCCTCTATTTTGCAGAAATATGCTAACGATTTTGTGTTCCCTCAGCAAAAATGAAATGCTAGGATAAAGGTAATCAATTATATACAATGAATTTATATACAATGAAAATGATTTAAATTGTTCAGATTGTTTATAATATATCGTCGATGAATTATAAAAGGCTGCATATTATTTCACAGTCAACGATGCAATTCCTTCTGAATTACAACATTTTGCTTCAATAATCACTTGAACAGCTTTGTTAAATTTCCGCAGTCTGGATACAGGGTGGACCAAAAAGGATGGAAACATTTTAAACTCGTATAAAACATGCAATATTGCATGCAGGTGACTGAAAATGATACCAAGCGAGAGTACATTTTGTGGAAATTCATAATGACATCATGCTCAGCTGCTTTCTCTCGTTTTCAGTCTCTCACAGTAGGTGTTCGAGGAGGCCACCTTTGCGAGACAGGCACAGATCGGCCCGCCTGGCGGCTGACGCGATAGCCCGACGACACATGTCCTCTGGTATGACTCGCACAGCCTTGATGATCGCTTTCTTCAGGCCACAGAAGCTTGCTGGACCTTCTTTGTAGACCTGGCCCTTGAGATGACGCTACAGGCAAAAAAATCCATAGGGGTCAAGTCAAGTGAATAGACGGGCCAGTTCCGACTGGCACCGTGGGATATCAGCCGGTCACCAGAGTGGTTCTCGATCCACTTGAGCATTGTTTTGCTATTTGAGGAGACGCACCGCCTTGCTGGAGCCACATGAGGTCCCCAAGATACTGCCATACGTCGCTTGATCTCACTTCAAGAACTTCTTTAGCGTCGCTTGGTAGGTCAGCCACGTCGCTCCCACCCTCGAACCGAAGTGGAACTGGCCTGTCTGCTCAACCGACCTGACCCTATGGATTTTTTCCTGTAGGGTCATCTCAAGGGTCACCGGTCAGGTCTATAAAGAAGGTTCTGTAAGCTTTAGTGACCTGAAGCGAGCGATCACCAAGGCTGTGCGAGTCATACCAGAGGACATGTGTCGTCGGGCTATCGCGTCAGCCGCCAGGCGGGCCGATCTGTGCATGTCTCGCAAAGGTGGCCTCCTCGAACATCTACTGTGAGAGACTGAAAACGAGAGAAAGCAGCTGAGCATGATGTCATTATGAATTTCCACAAAATGTACTCTCGTTTGGTATTTTCAGTCACCTGCATGCAATATTGCATGTTTTATACGAGTTTAAAATGTTTCCATCCTTTTTGGTCCAGCCCGTATATTGCATTTTTTTAGCCATGCTTCACGTAAAAAATAGCTTTAGATAAGACGGTGCTTTTGTCAATAACTCCTAACCGAATTGATCATCGAGTCGGGTTTTGAAACAATCATCCCGGAACGGAGTGTGAAATATAGCGATATGTTAGCTGATCCGACTGATTGTGACGGAACATTAACTGGCGTCAGTACTTAAATTTACTTTTCAATAAAGAGCAATTGGAGAAATATTTGACGCGTGTCTACAAGAAAAAAACGTTAATCTGCCCAAATAGTTTTCGCTGGTCTGCAACCATTACTGTTGAAGTTGTTTGTAAACCTCGACCTGCTATACCTTGATTTCTTTTTCTTTTTAGTGCCGAGAGGGGTTATTGCTTGTACGTACGAAACATGCATCACAGTGTCGTTGACGAGCACTGGCATTTACTTAAGTTGACACCCATAGTAAAACAGCGATTTTTATTACTTTCACGCAAAAGCTGGCTGGTGAAAGGGCGGTAAATAGAGGTGACCTCCGCAGCACCCCGACCCGAGGTGCCCGGGGCATACATATTACATACATAGCGCGTCAACACAAGCCAAGCGCAGTCGACTAGACAGCACACAGACATACAGTCCTCGCTCAGCCCGCAGAGGCCCGCACGGCCCCCCCCCCCCCCCCCCCCCCAGCTTCCCTCTGAGATCCGAGGCCAGAGAGCGACTCTAACCTCGCGCACCCTCCGCTCTACCCTCCCTACCTGCTCTACCTGCTCACACAGACACAAAAAAGCAACAACCGGCGAGCGAAGGTAGGCGGGAGCTCACAGTAATATCACCCCACGCAGCCAGCAGTCCATGCCCGATAAAACACTGACCCGCACTGACGTCACACTCAGCTGACGTTTTGATACAATGCACAGACGTCTCAATAAGCTGCGATCAACGCCACATAGACTTTGCCTACGTCTACATAAAAGTACGCTTACTAACTACACTAACGTCTCGATAAAACAAAGCTAGCTAATTGCTAAAACTGCCAGCATCGCGACCGGCTATACACTGACGTACCCGCGCACTGCGCATTGTTGATTTCTCACTGACAGCCAACACCGACTCATTATCGCTTCAATGGAGGCACCTCTTTGTCCACACTCCCAATGTTTCTCGGAGCGATTCTGACCGAGCAGACCAGGCCAGTGACAATGGCTAGAGCTCCCTCCTCGCTTCACGGAGCCGACCAGCGGATGACGTAGATAGGGTGACGCCGACGGACGCTAGCCCAGACGGTCGAGCTCGTCACACGACTTGGACTTGGAGGACCTGTCGGGACAGACGACATAGCGTAAACGGCGAGTACACAACCCGCAGCCAGCGCCATCTAGCCCGCTGATGCGGCACCGACAATAACCACCGCAATGAAGACATCTGAGACGGTAGCCTTTATAACTGAACCTTTGATTCAACCAGAGGCCACCAGGGGCAAAGTGGTCTGGCCAATCAGACCAGGGCCCTGTTTCACCGGTGACAGCAGCACGCTGCTATCACACGTGTCAAATTGGGTTTCCATGGAAACATCAACAAACCATGACGCCGTCAATCTGTGTGATGTCATCAAATATTGCTGCTAACATCTTCACGGCCTTGCGATCAAACAAATGTTAGAAAACGCATTCAACGAGACAGCAACTCTGTTCCAAACGCAGCTCACGGATTACACGAAACGTCAGTAGTGTGACCTCATCACATTACGCCAGCTCGCGCAATTTGATAGTAGCGTGCTGCTATCACCGGTGAAACAGGGCCCAGACCTCCAGGAACCTCTAGTATTTACAGGCCTCCCCAAGACCCAATACACATCAAATCTTTCCAGACTAGCATTATGTCTCAGCAAGTACCAATGCCGCCCAACCTCAATGAACCCCACACTACTGACAGCAGTGTGATCCGTTTGTCGTACTCACCCGACCCCCTTTCGGACCCGCCGACCGACTTGCAGCACCACCAGACCCGTCTTTGTCTTCTTGAAGAGTGCGATGGCCTCGGCGTGCGAGCAGCCCCGCAGCGGCTCGCCGTTCACAGAGAAGATTTCATCGCCTGTGGGGATGGAACGCGCCCACATTAGAGTATGCACTCGGTTAGGCTGTGTGTGGGCTGCGCTACAAGCTGGAAGATTTCATAGGTGTCAGCACAATCGCGGGGCAGACAGTGGCAGGTCAGCCAGTGTTGGGAGCATACGGGAACACAGACACAGGTCTCGGCGATACATCCACTCCACAAACACGCGGTTACACTGTAACAGCATACGATGCCCCTGTTCATCTGATGTGTGCCTTTCATCCTCACAGGCCACAGACCCTCGACAGGAATAACTACAGGACACATCAGATGAGCAGCAACTCTCCGTCCAGACTGCTGCACTATGCATGAGGAAGGACGGCGGCGGCTACTCAGACATGCATACGAGGGTCGGTCGCGTCACAGTCGCGGGTGGAGCTCGAGCCAGAACTCGAGTGTCCGCCCGATCAGGACCAGTGCGCGCTGTTAAATTTGGCTCTGACAGGGTGTTCGATGATGCCAATTTCGTAACACCACCGCTACGGTGCTGGTATCGACAGGCGCCATTTCACAACGGCTATCGGCAGTGACGTTTAATGCAGCTGGACGCGAGATTGGGAAACCTCATGACGCCGTGGTCCGGCTCAGCTATTGATCGGAGTCATTATCCAGTCGCTAACGCTGTGAAATTCAGCGAGACTGTGCCTGTGGCGCACCGCAGGGGCTATGGGGAGGTGGAACCGTTATATCGTGATATTGCAGATTATGGAATTTTGAGGCTAGAACTTAGGAAACAGTATGACATGCTATGAGACTATGGAATAAGTCGGGGGCTGCGAGATGGAAAGAATGCTGTGAAACTGAAGCTTATGTGAGTTTATGATAGACCGACCATTGTGAACATTCGAGACTGTACCATCATAAACTTGCTTATATGTGAATAGGTTGTTATATTGTTAATTGTTCTGGCACTCCTGCTATGGTGACCGTAGCAGGTTAGCTCACCTTCCTGCAGTTTATTCTCCTCGGCCGCCTGGCCGTTGGGCAGCACCGTCTTCACGAAGATGCCCATGTTGCCGCGCGGTGAATCCGTGCCGCCGACCACGCTGAAGCCCAGGCTCTTCCTGCCGCGGCCCTTCTCGAAGATGACTGTGCGCAGACTGAGCTGCAGCGAACGGGGCCGACGCGGCAGCGTGCACAGGCCGCTGCTGGGGCTGGTGCTGGTGCTGATTCTGGGGCTGGTGCTGGTGCTGGCGTTGCAGGTGGTGCCGCCCGTGTCGGGGCTGTCTGGCGGGTCTGCCACGGACCCAGGGCCGGCCGGCGGCGGTGACTCGGGCTCCGTCTGTCTCCGCCCCACGGAGTCGGAGTCGGAGTCGCGTCGGTGCCGCTGCCGCCGCCGGTATCCGGCGCCCAGTGTGCGGGCCCGCTGGCTGGGATCGCTGCGCCGGCCGGCCGGCTCCTGCGGCGTCCAGCCGGGTCCAGCGGCGTCCAGCACCAGCTGACCGCAGGTGGAGACCACCGTCACGTACCGCTGGTCGGGGGAGGCGGGCCGCCGGCTCAGCACCAGCTCCAGCCGGCCGGAGACGCCGCGCAGCAGGTCAGCAGCCTCGGCGGCGGGCAGGCCGCGCAGCCGGTGACCGTTGGCGTTCAGCAGGCCGTCACCGCAGCGCAGCCGGCCGTCCCTGCAGCGGCGGATATAACAGGTCAGGAACACACACCGCAGCGCAGCCGGCCGTCCCTGCAGCGGCGGACGTCACAGGTCAGGAACACACGCCGCAGAGAGGTCAGGAACACAGACTGCAGCAGCGCAGACGCCGTCCTTGGAGCGGCAGACACGGCAGGCTAGCTAAAATGCTAAGGAGTTTCATATACACAGACGGGTCATAATTGTTATAATGTATGCCTACTGCATAGGCATATATTGTGCAGTACGATATGTCATATTTGCTGCACATGGTTTATCGTGGTTAATAGCCGGGAAGTTACCACGTCCTCACGCATGGCTCGGTACCACGTCCCGTTTTCCTCATTCGAAAGACCGCGCCGGCCCGAGCCAATTCGGTGCGGCACCGTCTCCGTGGAATGGAGCCGAGCGTGTGTGCGGCCCGCTGGACCGTCTGTGCGACTGCCGAATGCAGTGAGATCACCCGTAGTGATGTCATCAGCTGAGGCACACGGGCTCCCAACGAGCAGGGACACGGCCGCGCCCGGCTGGTGCTGAATTGGTCGCCACGAGATTGTATCGAAAACAGGTGCGGCGTCGCCAATGGTCAGGACTGGTGGTTGGCTGAGCTGGTGGGTTGTTAGGCGGGAGGTATAACTGGCTGTTTCATGGAAGGCCCGTGTCCGTGACAGCTGTAATGCCATGTCGGACAGGCACTGGGTTATTCATCGGAGCAGCATCACTGTCAGTTGTGTCTGCAGAGGACGTCTCCGCACCAGTATTATCGGCCTTGTGTGGAATCGGACGAGAATAGATCGTCATCTCGGGTCCGGCTCGAGACAGGAGGTCCGCGCTGTATCATAACCGGTGGAGATTTGTGTGTGCCTCAGTTGCTGCAGGTCGGGTGTTGTCTCTGCCTGTCATAAAATGCCTTTGCCTGTCGTATTATGTAATGTCCCTGCTCATAAAGTGTCCCTAACGGTCGGAGGGTATCCTTGCCTGCCGTTTAGGTCCATTCAGGTCGGGTGGAAAGATCAGGTCAGGTAGGTGATGTCAGGTCAGGTCAGGCACAGGCGAGCTCACCTGTCGGCCAGGCCGCCGGGCTCGATGCCAGTGACGATGAAGTCGCCGTCCTCCTCCCCGGTCGGATCCTCGGCGATGTCCACTCCGAGCGGCTCGCCGTCGGCGGCGGCGATACGCAGCAGGTGGAACTGCGGTCCGGCCGGCGGCGGCGACGGCGAGCGGGACGCCGGCGCCGGCGGGTAGGCCGCCAGCCGCCGCCGCCCCAGGCCCCCTCCGTCCATCGATGAGGCGCGTCGGTAGCGGCGGCCGTCGAGCACGGCCAGCCGGCGCGGTCGGGTGGGCGGCGTGCCACTGCCGCTGCCGCCGGTGGAGCGGCGCGGCGCCGGCGGTAGCGCGCCGCTCGTGGCGTCACCCTCCTCATCTGCTCCCATCCAGACGGGCGGCCGCGGCGGCAGACGGTCCGGCCGCGACTCCGGCGTATGGGCGCCCCAGCCGGCCGAGCGGCGCCGCCCGGGAGCGGTGTCCTCCTCGACCACAGCCCGCTCCCGGCGGCCACCCAGGCTACCCAGTCCGCCGCCCTCGCACGAGGCGCCCGAGTCGGTGCGCTGAGACGTCAGGCTGCCCGACTCGGAGTCGTGTGTCGAGCTGCCGTCCGAGTGCTCGTTCAGGATGCCGCTGTCACTGTCACCGTCGTCATCAGCCGTGGGGCCGTCCATCTGTCCGGGCCAGAGGCTGCGGGTGCGCCAGCCGGCCTCCTGTCGCGCCGAGGGCCGGCGCCGCGGCCGCTCCAGGGTGCTGACCACCACAGGGACGGGCGTGGAGCCCGCCTCCTCGGGCAGGGCCGTCAGCGCGCCGCCGCCCAGCGAGGCAGAGCGGCCGGCCTCCCGCAGACTCACCCCGCCGCCGCCGCTGCCGCCGCTGGAGCGCCGCTGCTCCCGTCTCTTACCCAGGTCCAGGTCATCGCTGGGGTCCTCAGCCGGTACGTACGTCGACAGAAGAGAGGTCGAGCAGCAGCGCTGCATGTTCGTCGCTGTCGTCGCCGCCGAACGCTCCCGCCCAGTGCGTGCTCGCGGCTCCCGAGCTCGCAGGAACAGATTCTTGAGTGACTCGACGCGGTCGAGTTTGCCCCGCTCCAGACTGCTGTCTCGACTGGAGCTGCGCTGACCGCCGGAGGTCGCCGCGGATCGCCCGGACGGGGGCGGTTTCCTGCGCGGAGCCGTCAGCGCGAACGAGTCGGTGACCGAGTGTCGGGCCGACTCGGCGGCGGTCAGCCGGTCGCGAGAGTCTGCCCGTCGCAGCTGGCTCCACTTGTGGCCCACCAGCCGACTCCATGTGGAAAAACCTGCCGCACAGACAGACACACAGATCAGCGCGTGTTGACGGCTATCGCTGGGGAGGGAGGGAGGCACACGCTAATGGGATCCGGCGCGAGCCGGCGCAGTTGACGCCTCGCCGCCGGATTAGGCGGTCAGATAAGTGCGGCTTAGCATTCAGAAACTAAGAGCGACAAACGTCTGTGTCACGGAGCTCGGCCTTGGAGTCGGGGATTAGTTGTCGCCAGCTGGACCTGCGTCAGCAGTCTGGACTACGGAGCCTAGGCAGTCCCGAGGCCAGATCAGGACCGGAACTGCCTCATGGCGTGGAAGTCAGTGCAGTCATTGTGGGCATCGCCTACCTACGGTTCGATATTTTATTCGAGTACTTTTGCAAATACCTCCATTTCTAATGCACCGAGTTAAAACACTGACTCCAACGTTACGGAGAATCTGCAACGACAGACGTTATCTTTCGATACCTATGACTACCACTAGATGGCACTGCCAGTGTCCCCCTGTATTTATGCTGTGCCGCATGGCCCAACGATGTTACCTGTGATTTATCCATGAACTTTCCAAAAGTTGAGACAACAATGTTGATTAATTTTACATTAGGCATCCGGAGGAAGCCTGTGTGACCTTCACATCGCGTTTCTCCGGTGGATATAACGACGGTATGCATTATGCATCTCAATTACTAAACAACATTATACTTTTACAGCAAGGCTCTTGTTCGGCCAACTCACGATCACGATACGTCACATTACATATGGAGCTCGGCTCGCGGAAACGCATATCTGACACGCAAGCTCCATAACTTCAGGCCTCAGCCGCACGAATCCGTCTTAAATTTGGTCACATCTGCGGCCAGGCATTCCGTCGGCGCGGAGTTACGGCTGATGGTGGAGTTTCGCACGCCCCTCCCGTGCTGGCGGCTGAGTGCTGACTGCTGATGCCCCAGATGTGCCCGTTTGGCGGCAACCTCGGCACCTGACAGAGCGCTGAGGTGCCCACATACCACCCGTCAACTGCGAAATATTTACCGCCGCCCAGCGCGCTCTGTATAAGGCGCATCCGCTGCCGACTCATGCTGTTCATTTGTCCGCTCGTGTGACTCATATCACTGACAGCGTGTTATGGGACGTGTCGTGCTGTAAATCATGTGCCACTGCATCAACTCGACCACCTTGTTACGGCTGGGCGAGGACAGAAGTGCTCCGCATACATACCGATACCATCGAGCGCGACTTATAAAACTAGTTAGTTAGCTGTCACCTCTGCATGCCTCTAGTAATATGCTTCAACCGTAATAAATAAGAGGTGAATACAAATGCAACATGTCGACCGAAATAAAACGTGTTGCCGATTAGGTACATGAGTCCGTCAGCATGAGGTAAATGCATTCACTGAATACACTCCATTCATAAACGGAACTTAAGAACGATTGAAAAGCGTCTGTCCATTCTGCATTCACCCGGGCAGACTAGAGAGACTTTATTGAACTATGTTGGCGCGGTGCGGCGACTCACTGGGTTTGGTCGGCGGCGCCGGCGGCTCCGCGTCCTGTTCCCGGCCACAGCCCAGGTCACCGTCCAGCGACTGCAGACTGCTCAGCTGAGGGGCATCGGTGGACCGACGCAGAATGTAGCGCATCGCACGGCGTCTTCCCGTAGGCGGCATCCTGAGGGAAGGGAGGGGGAGGTCAGGTCAGAACGGCGGCATCCTGAGGAACGGGAGGTCAAGTCATGATTGCGGCATCCTGAGGGAACTGAGGTCAAGTCGGGTCCGAACGGCAGAATACTGAGGGAAGAGAGGTCAGGTCAGGTCAGATCGGAGGTATACTGAGCGAAGAGGGAGACATCGGGTTAGGAAAAGTGCACCCCGAGGGGCGTGGAATAGGTCAGGACAGCGGCACCCTGAGAGTCGCGGTAGGTAATGTCAGACATGCATGACGCTTTGCATCAAATATGCTTATGCTGACCGCTCCCTCTTCACGATCTCTCCCGCACCAAGGTCACGGTTGCAGGCTCCACTCCCAAAATACCGCAGTTCCACCAACTATCGCCGTGCTACCGAGCTCTTAGACTAGCCCAACTGTCAGCGGTCTCATTGAGCTGAACTGCGGGCCCACGTGGCGCGCGGTGTGACCCCGCCCCTGACCCGGACCGTGACCTCGGCGGGCCGCCGGCAGCGGGAGCAGAGACCGGGCTCCCGGCGCCAGTGACGCCGATAGGGCGCCATCCGCGGCAGCAGCGGTGAAGGCACTTCACACAGCCCGCCGGCTATCTCAGTAGCTGCAGCGCCCAGCCGACGTGATCTCAGGCAGCCGTATCTCACAGACGGCTTCAGAGTCGCCGCCGCGCGGCCACTTCCGGGAGGGCGCGGTGGCGGGCTGCGGTCCCGGTCTGCGACTCTGCACACACACACACACCGCACCCCATACTGCACTTAGGGCGCCGCTGAACGCTCGTTGCCGTCTGCTTGTCCTAACACATAGTTAGTCGCCATCCTGTTCATGTGTGGCAAGAATGTGTAGTTTTAAGTTAACCATTCCACTAAGCAAGAGCAGAAGTGCGAAGGTAAAATAACAGATGTAGGTACTGAAGAAGCATACTATTACTCTTATAAGCACGTTACAAGTTTGTACCCTTTATTTTAATTTAGGTGATTTAATGCACAATCTATACCGGGCCATTCTATAAATTTCATTCCTTTATTTTTTTCCATTAATACGGAGTGCAGTAACTTTTAAAGACTGAGTCCTTGATGTAGGAAATATCGTAATAAATAGATCAATAGGTGTTGAGTTGCGTGGGTTAGAAGAACCTGATGGCAGGTTCATTGGGTACATTGGGCCAGCTCTCTGCCCACACGTCGGCCAAATATGTCGCCGTTTAATTTTTCTGCGTCGACACTACAGTGCAGACGATCTACCTACCACCTCTCACGAATCTCAGTTGCAGGAATGTTGACACCTGGCGCACAGAGTCGCCATAAATGAACCTCGCGATGTAGAACGTTTGTAAACGAGCCGAGAATAGACGCCACCATATAGATACTCCGCCCTACGGCGGGGCTGGTCGACCAGTCTGGCTACTGGAGCTGGCCGCTGGCGCCGTCAAAGGTTGCAAAAACTGCCGCTGTGGGCCGTCAGACATACCGTCCCGACTAACCAGCCGAAGGTATGCTGTAGCATCGTGTCGGAATGCAGCCAGCCACGTGTCCTAACAAGTGTTTATTCGTTCACTTCCGTGTTCCTTGTCGTGCAACCATTCGTCATTCATCACTTGGTATATGACTGCTAGTCATGAACAGTCAGTCAGCCAGTCAGTCAGTCAGTCAGCCAGTCTGCCCGTCCGTCAGTCAGTCAATCAGTCAGTCAATCAGTCAGTCAGTCAGTCAGTCAGTCAGTCAGCCAGCCAGTCAGTCAGTCAGTCAACCAGTCAGTCAGTCAGTCTGTCCGTCCATCTGAGGTCCTGTTAAATGACCGTCACGAGTGAGAAGCTCCGGTCCCGGTCCCGCTCGCCCAGGTCCTGGTAATGACATCTGAAGCACCGTCCGTCTCGGCTCTGAGCGGGACAATTACACGCGGAAGTGACTACAGTATCAGTGTTAAATGGACTGATCGGAATTCAGGAGGGTAGATACAGATGCGCTGAGACGCTAGGAGCGATGGCCTGACAACGATACAGGAAGAACGAACTCCGCAATATATGGCCCGTAGATGGCTCCTAGGACACTCACTGGACAGGCCAACGGACGGAGCCAGACGGTGGTGTCCGTCTATTTACTCTTCCATCAACGCTGCACTCAGCCATCGACGTGTGGCCATTTAAAGTTGACGGTCACATAAACAGTTATAAAGAGACGCACGACGGACATCAATGAGACCCGAGCGGAGACCAGCCGGGGCACGAGCAGCTGGCTAGTGAGTGATAATCGTCCTCATAGACCTAGGACTGTGTCTTTGATAGCGGCGCCTCCCTATAGTCCTGTCCAACCTTCAGTGGCCGAACTTTAACAGAAGCAGCCTGTGGCAACGTCCACCGTGCAGTGTCCACCAGTGCCGAGTCCCATGAGGTGACCTTGTCGCAGCCCATGATCGGCCGTCACCGTTGGAATAAACTGACGTCCCGTCCCCAGACGGAGCTCCACCAATCGTCCCGTTACCTCCTGTGCGGCTCACCGCATCGGGCACGCCGCACGCGTAGATGAGCGGTGACCGTTTCCTGGGGTAACGACGCGTGATAGCGGGGACGTCTCTCACGTGCGACCTGTTTCTCCGAGACGGGCGGACAAGAGAGGACAAAAACGCCTGTCCTCGTGACTGCCCAGGTGCGGGGTAGCGGTGGATCGGCCGGCGGGAGAGGATGTGCGCTGGACTGCGCGCACGAGGCCGACGGAGGTGACTAGATATGAATACGATATACGGGCCAATGGAGATTGAAGAGGGCATGTGAGGCACACATCACGGATTTGGCTATTGATTCAGAGGTCGGACAATCGACAAACGCATATTACGCATGTGTCTGAGGAACGTTGCAGTTGTTTGACATGATTCATATCAGTGGAACATCTCCGTGCCATGTCCGCAGTGCTGTACTTTCTGTCGAAATGTTTACTCCGCATAAATCTTCAGGTGGCCCGCGGTCCGCCCAGCGACAGTCTCGTGACGAGCTATTGACAGGTGCTGCCCGGACAGGAGGTGGAAAAATCCCCTGCACAGCGCGCGTCCGGCCAGTTAGCAGAGCCGCTGCCGGCCCCGATCGGTAGCTCTGTATGGCCACTGCTGACAGCCGGTCCCGGAAAAAGGGCCCAACCCCGCACAGACACGGATCGGGCACGGGCCGACATTTTTGTCAGACGCTCGGTATGGACTCTGGTAATGAGCACTCGGCACCGGTGGCGTAAAACTGCCGTTCCGGCTCGCGTTCCGAACTGCTGCGATAGCACGGACCGACGGCCGTCGTCGGCCGCTAACGACCGAACAAACTAGATCATTTCAAAGACATTGAAAACAGAGCTGCCAACAGTCGACAGCTGGTTGAATACTGGCAAGATCGCGGATTGAAGCGCATGTGAACCGATCCTTATCGCGAATGGAAGGCCACGTAGCACGGCTTTCGTGAGATTCATGCGGTTGTAAGACAGCAAACTACAGTCACTTCCGTGGGTACAGCCTGGAATCGTGCAAACAGCTGGCCAATTTATAGTGTAAGAAGGTCACGAAAGGTCACGGCAGATGGAAGTTCCAGTGTCTCGAATTCCAAACGTGGTTCTAGCCCTTGATACCTATATTCTAACCTGAACCACCGCACGCCATCGAGCCGGAGCTTGCTGCCACATTCCAGAGGCCCGGCAATACCAGCTCGGCACATCTTTGTTATTTATTTCACCGCGCAGCTCGGACCAGATTGAATCAGCCGCAGCCCGAGGGCCGCTGTTTCATGTCTCCCTGCACCGGCATCCAGGAAGATCAGTCGGCCGAGCTGCCCGACTGCCGCTCATTACAGTCGCAGGGCCTCCCAATGACTCCATAACTCTCGGGGAGGCCCGTGCCGCCGGCAGAAATGCCACACCACGGCCGGGCCGCGGAGACGGCGGCCTTCGGCTGACGGCCCGGCCCGGCCCGGTCTCGGCCCTGTCTCGCTGGGGCCAAATTGGTCTCCGCTCGGCCGGGCTGGAGCCTGATATAGCGCTACCACGCCACTGCAGGTGTCCGCTCCATCAAATAGCAGGGATCGAGCACCACCACGTCCACCGAGTCCCGGTTACCCAGTCCAACCGAACCACACATTACAGAGTAGCCGACAGCAGATATACATATTGATCAGCCCGCCGCGCCGCCTTGACCTGGAGTCTGCACCTGCTGCCACCCACGCGGCACGCCTGTCTGGCAGAGTGTTCAGGGCCCATAGCCGGCGGCCGATGACACAGAGTAGTTACAGAGCCGGCAGAGATCGTCTGAACTCCCAACAAAGAGTATGTAATAGCACAGATCATGTGGCTGAGCCCCCTCCCCTCCCGTGACAGCCGGACCGCGGCCGATGGTCCCGGATTCGGGGCTCCTCGAGAGCATCTGTCGCTGCCCATCCCGTGCACCTGTGCACCGCAGTCCGGCGGCCAGCCAGACCGTGACGGGGTCACGGCCACGGCCACGGGACCGGTCGTAACAGCCTCAGTACTCTCTCCGGTACAGTCCGGGCTCTGCTCGACTGGTCAGCGCCGAATGACAGTGCTCGAAGTTCATCTACCTCCGCCGCCGCCGACACTCGTGCCTCAAGGGCCGGCGACCGCCAAAGCACACATCCTCTTCCCGGTACCGTGCCGACCATTTTAATTGCCACTCGGTGAGGAGCGCGGTCCTTTTTTGCTCCTTATGGCAGTGGCTGTGATGTCAGCGCGTTTTTGAACATGCTGGCAGCCGACAGGCGGGGAGTGGCCGGTACGTTTTTCTGTTGACGTCGACGGCTGCCGGTGGGAGCGGTGGGGAGTGGCTGCAGGTGACGGCTGGACGGCCGACGGCCGCGCCTTGGGGCCTCCTCCGCCGCTGCCGCCGCTGGTAGGGTCACGGCTCAACTCACCAGTCATCCCCGCTCCACTCGCAGCAGACGAGCCGAAAACACTGAGGGACCGTGCCGAGCCGTGCTCACGGCCGCTGCCAACTCTGCAGCGGAACGG